AGCCTTGTCAAGAGAAAAAAAAAAAAAGACAAAAAAAAAAAAACCACCTTGAATATGTGGAATAGCAATTAGACATTTTCTAAGCAGCCATTTTCAAAATGCACCCAGGCATCTAATAAGGGCACCTGAGGCATATCCACAACTCCGCCACACTCCAGGCCCCAACAGACATCCGCCACGCATCGAATACTCGGAGGAAGGATACGTTACCAATGGCAACTGCCCACTTCCAGAGCACTGGGGCTGGTTTCAAGGAGGAGATTCTCTGTCACCCTGAACCGCTGGAAATGCAGGGTCTCATGCCATCGAGTATCACTTCGTAGCATTCTTTAAGGAATCGTTTCTCCGTGAAAAGCTGTGACCACACTGCAGAGCTGGGAAGCAGAGAGGTGTTGCCTGCCCACTACTTTTCATGGGAGCTGGACCACCAGCTCTGTGATGCTCTGATTCCCCAAGCGGAGTTGCTGAACGTGCAGGTGAGATGAGCAGCAGGTGGAAGCCAGGACAATATGTAAAATCAGATGATGACTTGCAGGCTGTTAAAGCGGTGCTCACATCATCTCCCAACTCTGGCTGATTCTCTCACTGTCCAATGCTTCGAGCTGCAAAGCCAGCAATAAACTTCATCACTCAAGCTCCTTTCTTTCTAGGGAGAGACCTAGAAAATTGTCCCAGGACATGGCATACCTGCCTCAGAAAGGTGACTCACCTGCATTGGTCACTCTTGTTTCTGGAGTGCTGTTGGGAAGGTCCCCAGGATGCAGCATGGAGGAAGAGGCATGAAGGAGCTCAGGAAGGCAATGGGCAGCACTTGATCTCACACAAGGATGAAGGCAGCCAATCATACAGACACCTGCTATTCATATAAGTTAGAAATCACACTGGCATATGCTTCTTAAAACACAGTGCCCATAACTTACAACCAACTGTCAGGCTATATTCCAGTCAGATCCCCAAGACAGACACAAAGCCAAAAGGAAGCACTCAGCATGGGCTGAGTTCACACCATCTTTAAGTCAAGACCCACAGAAGGGACAACCAATGCCTGTGGCTGAGGCTTCTCATCCTCAGGAATCCTAAGCCCCAGCAGTCTTCAGTATGTGGCAAAACACAAATGGTGCCTACAAGGCTTAGGGTCATGATCCCCTACAAACCAAACAGGCTGTGAGTGAGCAGGAGGTGTAAATTGGGTAAAGCCAAAACCATTATTTTGTAAATGCTTAACAGAGATCTCAGAATGAGGGAATTTGCCCTGCGCTCTTTCAGTTTTTGGTGTGCAATTTCCTTTAGGCTCCTAAAACATCTTCGGGCACCTGAGAAACCACTTTGGTTACATCCTCCATCCTGAAAAAAAATAATCCCATGGGACTGACACAGATCACTCTGAGAAAGAGGTTCCTCTTATCAACTGCTCTTCAAAAGCAGCCAGGATCATCCAAACCCCTCAGCCACATCTACAGATCATTCAATCAGATTCAAAGCCCCTGTTTCCATCAAACCCTCCCCCAATTCCCATAGCTGTAGCAATCCAGATGGGTCAGACGCTGCTGTAAGCTCCAAGACAGGTGCCAGCACTTTGTTCTCTGCTCCTACAACATCAAAGCTCAGCATCAGCTCTGTCCAGGTTCCTGACTAAGGCTCAATGAGAAGCATACTGAAAGTGGTAAGTAAAACTGCAAAGAATTCCTGTTTGCACCCTAGATTCACAGAGGAAAGAATAAATTTTGAGGATCACTTGGCCAAATCACCTGGTTGTTGATACAGCAAATTCCTCTAGGATATAGACAAGGTTTGGACGGAGCAATGACACAAATTCAGCTTTTTTATAGGTGACAGGTGACCACAAAACTCCCGTCTCCAAGCTCCGCGTTTGCATTTCTACCTCCCGATCTCTTTTGGCACAGAGCCCTATTTCAGCGTAAAATCTCTGCCACCCACTGCCTGGTTTGGGGGGGGCAGCATGAGAAGCCGAGCAGTGATCCCAGGTGAGCAGCGCCTTCCCTCCCGCAGCAGCCGGGGAGCGGGGGAGCTGCGGGGCAGCAGCAGGCTGGCAGGCGGAGCGGCAGCGTCGCCCGCTGGCCGCTCGCTGCATCGACACCCCGCGGGGCTGCGGACACGGACACCCTCCTCCCGCACTCCTGGGGACAGCCCTGAAGCTTCACCAGCACGAAACATCTCTGGTGCTCCTGGGAGAACACAGCAAGCCCAGGAGCAGCCCATTTAGGGACGCAGATTAGGAAAAAAAAAAAACACAACACCAGTCAGTATCAAAAAAACCCATCTCGTACCCTTATCTTCTCTTCCTATTCCCACCCTGCCCAGCTTCCACTCCCTGCAAAGATTAATCCCAAAGGTAAGTAATAACTTCCTCAGCAGGAATGGAAGGTCACCACAGACCTTGGGGACCAGACCAGAGGGGAGACCTTGTTTATAAGTACCTAAAGTATAAGTACCTAAAGTATATAAGTACCTATAAAGTACCTAAAGAGTGAGTTGAAGGATGTTGGAGCTGGACTCTTTTCAGTGGTTTCCAGTGACAGGACAAGGGGCAACGGGCTCAAGCTGGAACACAGGAAGTTCCATTCAAATATGAGAAAAAACTTCTTTATGGTGAGGGTGACGGAGCACTGGAACAGGCTGCCCAGGGATGTCATGGAGTCCCCTTCTCTGGAGATCTTCAAGACCCACCTGGATGCAGTCCTGAGTGACGTGCTCTAGGCAATCCCGCTTTAGCAGGGGAGTTGGACCAGATGATCTCTAGAGGTCCCTTCCAACTCTGACAATTCCGTGATTCCGTGATAAGGCATCTGTGCAATCATCCTGTGATATCAAAACAAATCCCCTGCACCTGTTAATGAATGGCTACTTCATAGCAGTGGGGTGGGTGTTAATCAGAAATCTGTACTTTAATTATGACCTCTGCATTAACGAAGAAAGCAGAGGCGTGCAGTTATATCTCAGCACTCAGAACTGAGAGGGGTGACACAGACATGGAAACGTGACCCAAGCATGCTTGAGCCAAGAATAAAAGGCAATATGGGGGACAACTGCTTGTCAAGAGCCGGTGACAGACCCTCACCCAGCAGCTCTCACAGCCTACAAGCCTTCAAGACAGCAGGTACATCCAAATTTGCCAGGAGCACGCTCACCAGCTTGCACTTACATCTTGGTTTAGCAGCTCAAGAACTCCAGGAGAGAGGAGGACACGTTTAACCAGGGAGACACCTGCAGCTGCTCCAAGGACTGAGCAGCACTTTGCTCCAGCAGATCACTGAGGCACAGCAGTGACTTCCTTGTGGCAGATGAGCCACATCCATGGTCCCGGTATCGCTGTGGGTCCCTGTGAAGTTTTGCTCCAGCAGGAGCACCTCATGCAGGTAGTGATGGAGTTTTGGAGCTCTTCTGCAGCCTGACTGAAAGCAACATTCCCCTCTCCCGTCCTCAAGCCCACCACCCAGGAAGGTGGGCTGCTGTTTCCAAGCCGTGCGGTCTCCCCTGCCTCAACTGGCTGCATGGTGCCTCCTTGTGGGAACATGGGCAACCCAAGCCCCTCAGAGCCTGAGCTCTACAGCCACATCATCAGAGGAACCTCCCCCCCAGCACATCGAGTGTTTTACCCACAAAGGCTTTTGCACAATGAATTAGCAGAGCCATGAGTGCTGATGTGGTTTCAGCACAATTTCCAAACACAAGGGCTCAGGTGAAGACACCTTTAGCATAATGGAACTTGTTTTTATTTTGATGCAGCTCAATAAATGTTGTCATTGCACTGAAACGCTCTCGACAGCGCTCTCCCATGGTGATGATACACAGAGGCACGGCTGGCTTATGAGCTGGCAAATGGAGTGGGTTCCCCCCCATCCACTTCACCCCTTTGGCTGGAGGTCCAAGCAGGACACAGAGCTGGTTCTGGACATCCAGTCTGTACCAGCTCCCCAACCCTTTCTCCCCCCTGAGGTTTCCCTGAAGGATGGCTCAGTTACCTGCACGGCAGCTCCTGGACCACAGCATTTCATGAACCTATGTAGGAAGTTAAAGCTGGAGCAGGAGCAAGGAACCGCTATGCCACCTGCTTACTATTTTTCCTCCAGCTGCTATCAAGATTATTACCAACACTTGTTTTCTCTGAGCTGTACTGCTCAGGGCAGGAAAGGTGCTGCAGTCACCAAAAAGACCGGACAGAAAAAAACCCAAACCAAATAAAAACTCACCTGACAAACACAGCATAAAAAAACGTCCCAGCATTTTAAGCTTGGTAGTCTAAAGAGATGATTTAGAGGCAATTATTAACTAAACCAGCAGCTTTTCTTCCACGACCGAATGTCCCAGGAGTTGGCTCAACATGAAATTTATTGTTGCAACCCAGTGTGGATTAGGGAACTTCAACAGCCGGACACAGGAGCCTGCTGTCACACCCAGGAAGAACAAGCCACAGGGCACATTCAGGTGGACTGCCCTCAAGATCTGCAGACACCAGAATATGCTATGGGCTGTAGTAAGCAATTGTCCGTAGCTGGTGCTGGGAACTAGTGGCAGCAGCCAGCAGAGGACAATAGCTGCTTTTCTATCATTCCAATCTCCACCCCCAAACCAGTCATGATGCTGTTCTTCTCTCCACCTTGCAGCACACACCCTACTCCCCTGAGCCCTCCTCGAAGGCAAACGGAAGGAGGCAGAGTGATGTTTTATATCTCTTCTCCTCCCCCCTTACATCTGTCCATTCCTCCACTCCTGGAGCTCCAAGCTATTCCTCAAGGCACAAACTTGAAGGACATACCGAGATGCAGCAAGGCTTCTTCGAGCTACTTAAGCTTTCCTCAGATTCACCTCAGTGCATTCAAGCAACAAAGTACACAATTAACTGGAAAGGAAAAGTGGTTTTTAATGGCTTCACCAGTAACAAGAGCCACTCAGCTACTGGACTGAACTACTAATGCCTCCATAGTAATAAATACAGTACAGCAAAACAGACAGGACTTTTTGTAGAAAGACGGACATGATTCCACTCCATTATCACCTTTTTATTGTTAAAAGGACAGATCTTGACAGTGGAAAAAAGGGATGTTTCATAAAGAGAAGAGGATGCAGCTTCTACTGGTCCTTCAGTTCCTTCAGTCTTCTGATCGCAGACTTGACTGTCACTGCAGAGGTGGTACTGGAAGAAGAAGCAGAGTCATCCGCACGTGGCAGTAGAAAAACCCGCACCAATATTCTTTTCTGGAGAAAGCACTAATCATTCCAAATAGTTATCGCCCGATTGCACTGTCAACGGGGGGCTAATTCCACTTTGATTTTCGTGACAACAAAGCGTAGGCCTTTGTCTACAGAAGCACATGCAACCTCACAAGCTACATCTCAACCCAAATTACCCACTCATGCATCGACTACACGCACAAGTGCGTGGGCTCAAATTCCCAGCGACTGTTACGCATGGGGCAACAGTGTCTTCTACCAGAACTGGGGAGGGGGGGGGAAGGAAAGGAAAGGAAAGCAAAGCAAAGCAAAGCAAGGGAGTAAAGCAAGGGCATCACCACAGCAAGGATTCTAATGATTCAATGCTTTTAAAACAAAAACAAAACATGGAAATAATTTTCCTTGGAGTAAACTTGGTTTTGCCTATTCTATGTGTCTCTGGACTGAAAAGGCGAGGGTAGCATCACCAAAAAATGTTTCCTAGGCTTTGAAAGAAGCAAAAATTCCCTTACACAATTATAATTTTTATACAGTCAAAAGAATCAAGGAAGGAAAAGAAACCCCCAGCTCAGAAGCATAATTTATTAGAAGCTGTTGAGGCTCTTTTTTGAATAGGTCAGAGGTACATCTGTCAAAGTGTCACCTGTACAGATGACTCCACCCTGAGACAGCTGGATGCACCAGCCACCCTGATCCTTTTCTTCCAACATCACCAAAAAACTGGCCCAAGTGTAGTATCTCGTACAAGCAACACCCATAGTTCACATCTCCAGTAAGAAATGCTACTAGAGCTGAGGCACAAAAAAGAACACTTATGTAAAAATATTTGTTTCAGCATTTGTAGCTGTTTCCATTTCCTTACCTGAAGTTTGGGAAAAGATGCAGAGCTTGCATTTTTTAAGAATGAAACAACTGCTTTGATAAAGCCCAGAGAGATAAAGAAATTTTGAAGGATCACCAAAACGAGCAGCAGTAACATTATGGACAAAATGCAATATTCTCAGAAGCTGCACAACAGATACTGGAAAGAAAAGCAATCAAATCCAATTTGACCCATCTAATGAATTTTAACCATGCAGGTAAAAAAAAACAAACCCACATACCACTAGTTCAAAACAGATCTACTTAATGGTTAGTAGTTTTGGTTGTTTTTTTGTTAAAAAAAAAAAGCTGTATTATGCCTCAACTATGTGAAAATAAATGCTGACAGGAGCTTCTTCATCTCCTTACTTGTAAGTCCAGGCACCACCAGCAACTGTCTTCATGCAGGATCCACAGTGCCAGATACCCACAGCCTTCCTCTTCATTTTGGTCTGTAAAAAAAGAAAAAAAAAAATTGCATTCTCCCATCAGCTGAAAAAGGCAAACAACAAATTTCAGGCGAGGACTTCAGCATCACACAACAGTATCACCTAAAAGATTAGTTAAGACAGGCAAAGGATAAGGGAATGTTTTTATTAGGATTCTACAGAACAGGGAAAAGTCCTTCTGAGACACTTTCATCCAGATATAGAGCAGGTCATTTTTAAGTGCATCATCAAAAAATCAGCTTATTTTGAAGGAGAAAAATAATAAGGAGTTACATTGGTCACAATAACTGATATTCTCACCTAACAGTGAGAACATTGGTGATAAATGTAATACCGCTATTGTTAGTGATCCCTGGACATCCCAAGATTGCTTAAACCAGCTCCCCTTTGAATTGCATCTAACGAATGACTGGTGGGTACTGAGCTCCTTTCACCTGGGCAAGTCTCCATCACCTCGTGAAGATGACACTGGGTTTGCCTAGGGCTCCTATCAAATGGGCTTATCAACATTCTCATTTCACATAAGAAAGACACTATATAATATATAAAAATATATATATTACATAAATATATAAGTTTATATAACATGTATATATAAAAAAGATAGAAGTCTTTTTAAGTTTCCAGCCACTTAAAGATACCTACTTCGTAGAGTGAATTTTGAAAATTACTTATCAGACAGTTCTTCCCCATCCAGAGTTATACAGCACACAAATACAAGTAAGCAACTGCAATCAAAAGTTTTAAGTAGGAAAAGCAACCTCTCTTCCTCCCCCAGGCAAGCTGTAAAGTTACTGAATGGAAAATAAAACCCCAAGTCATGCCTTAGTTATCAGGATAACAAGCATGTTGTTTTAATTCTGATACCTAAAACGTATAACATGACAATATTTCTCACTATTCCGTGTAATAAAATATAATTTATGTTTACTTTCATTTAACTACCACTAAGTGTGCACATGAAATGTCTACTATCTCTTTTAGTTTTATAAGGGATTCTGACAGCAGCCTAAAGCTCACAATAAACGAATCACTGACTCAAAACTATCTGACTTATCCCTGGTAGAAAAATTACCAAAGCTTCAAATTGTAAATCTAGCATCAATAACAAAGTTATTTTAAAGGCTATTTTAGAGAAGAGGGTCTCTCACCTTGCCACAGAAGGAGCAGGTATACTTGGCATGCTGGCTAATTTCAATCTTCTTCACCATTTTCCTAAGGGACGCACCGTAACGGGTACCATATTTACCCACAATCCCAACCTTCTTGGTGCGCTTAGCCTGTTGGGAGACAAACCAGAACAAGGCCCGATTTTAGCGAGAAGGCCACCTCCCTCGGCTGCTCCCCTCTCCTCACACACGGCAGCAAAGCGCTCAACAACAGCGCTGTAGCCGACAAACGCCTCTCCTTGTAAACAAGGTGTCAGTTACGGAGGGGCGAGAGGCTCACGCTGCCTCAGGGCCGTTCGGGCAGAGGGCCGCGGTCCGGCAGCCGAGCCCAGCAAAGCCACCCCGTTCCTCAGGGCCAGCCCGCTCTCACACGAAAGGCGGCGGCCGGCAGAGCCCCCGTACCCCGCTCCGAAACCGGGCCCGGCCTCCTCCAAGGACGCCTATTCGGTCTCCCAGCGCCCCCCCCGGCCCGCCGTTCCCCTCACTCGGCCACCTCCCACAGGCCACCCGGGCGGCACCGAGCCCCTCCGGCAGCGGGAACGGGGCCTGCTCGGGGGCTGGGCCCACACCGCTCCCCGGCTCGCCGGCCCTCCCGGTCCGCGCTCTGCGCCCCGCCACCCACGCCGTGCCCCGCGGCTCCACGGCGGCGGCCCCGGGGGCGGATGGTGGCGGATAGGCCCCGGCGCCCCAGCAGCACTCACCATCTTCCTGCCCGGCGCCGAGGCGGAGAGGAAGGCCCCACCGCGCAGGCGCAGTATGAGCCGTCGCCGCCGGAAGTGACGCTAGAGGCGAGCGCGCGTGGAGGGGGGAGAGAGAGGAGTGGCGAGGGGCCTCTCTGCAGCGTGGCGGTGCCGTGCTCTATGGTCGCGCTGAGTAGTCTGTATATACATTTCGCCTATAGCTATAGGGTTATCTCAAAAGACAGACACACACACACACACGAAAACACCGTGTTTCGATGGGAAACCCTAGGAGGACAGCAGCCCCGGCAGAGAGAGAGCTCGGGTGCCCGGGTTTCCACCCAAGGAGGTCCCACCAGGAAAGGATCCCCTTCACCCACCTCACTGTTAAATAAAATAGGTGGTAGGGAGAATTAAAAAAGGAAGAGGTGTCCACAGGCAGATTGACTGACTTCACTCCTAAGAGAGAAGTGGTGAAATATTTATTAAGGTGAAACAGTGATTTAACAAAAGCAGTAGTAAATGTGACAGTGTTTTAGGAGGTTCAGTGTCAAGGTACACTGGGTTATTTACTGCTCAGAGGACAGTGTCAGAGTTCACCCACCTCACTGTTAAATAAAATAGGTGGTAGGGAGAATTAAAAAAGGAAGAGGTGTCCACAGGCAGATTGACTGAGAGAGAGAAGTGGCGAGGGGCCTCTCTGCAGCGTGGCGGTGCCGTGCTCTATGGTCGCGCTGAGTACTCTGTATATACATTTCGCCTATAGCTATAGGGTTATCTCAAAAGACAGACACACACACACACACGAAAACACCGTGTTTCGATGGGAAACCCTAGGAGGACAGCAGCCCCGGCAGAGAGAGAGCTCGGGTGCCCGGGTTTCCACCCAAGGAGGTCCCACCAGGAAAGGATCCCCTTCACCCACCTCACTGTTAAATAAAATAGGTGGTAGGGAGAATTAAAAAAGGAAGAGGTGTCCACAGGCAGATTGACTGACTTCACTCCTAAGAGAGAAGTGGTGAAATATTTATTAAGGTGAAACAGTGATTTAACAAAAGCAGTAGTAAATGTGACAGTGTTTTAGGAGGTTCAGTGTCAAGGTACACTGGGTTATTTACTGCTCAGAGGACAGTGTCAGAGAGAACTGTCAGGGAGACCCTCCTGTTGAGTCACGAGGTTCAGAAAGGACCTCCTTGCTTTCTAAACTCCTTTTCAGAGAAGAGTCTGGGTGAGGCTGGATCCAATTACAGAATCATCTAGGTTGGAAGGGACCTTCAAGATCATCTACTCCAACCATCACTCTAACGCTGACCGGTAGGGAGAATTAAGAAAGGAAGAGGTGTCCACAGGCAGGGTGATTGACTTCACTCCTAAGAGAGAAGTGGTGAAATATTTATTAAGGTGAAACAGTGATTTAACAAAAGCAGTAGTAAATGTGACAGTGTTTTCGGAGGTTCAATGTCAAAGTACACTGGGTTATTTACTGCCCAGAGGACAGGGTCAGAGAGAAGTGTCAGGGAGACGCTCCTGTTGAGTCACAAGGTTCAGAAAGGACCTCCTTGCTTTCTAAACTCCTTTTCAGAGAGGAGTCTGGGTGAGGCTGGATCCAATCACAGAATCATCTAGGTTGGAAGGGACCTTCAAGATCATCTACTCAAACCATCACTCTAACTCTGACCAAGCACCTCTGTGTCTTTTTTGTGGTAAGGGGCTCTAGTCCCAGACTTGGTCAACAGATTATATATGCACAATCAACCCTTTCAGTTTTTGCCCATTCCAGTGCTTGATAACCCTTTCAGGGTAAAAAAACCAATGCTTGATAACCCTTTCAGGGTAAAAAATTATGTTAGTCACTTACCGAGAATCTGTTGCGGCGAGGAATCTCTCAACCCTCAAGGAGCAGAACCTCAAGCCAGTTGACTTGGGAGAAGAGACCAACCCCCACCTCTACAACCTTCCTTCAGGAAGTTGTAGAGACCAATAAGGTCTCCCCTCAGCCTCCTCTTCTCCAGGCTGAACAACCCCAGCTTCATCAGCCTCTCTTCATAAGACTTGTGCTCCAGATCCCTCAACAGCTTCGCTGCCCTTCTCTGGACCCGCTCCAGCACCTCAATGTCTTTTTTGTGGCAAGGGGCCCCTAGTCCCCAGACTTGGTCAACAGATTATATATGCACAATCAACCCTTTCAGTTTTTTAGCTAAGGTTTCAAAGTTTAGCATGCTGTTAGTCCCTTCCCGAGAATCTGTTGCAGCGAGGAATCTCTCAACCCTCAAGGAGCAGAACCTCAAGCCAGGGCCGTCCCTCAAGGGAAGATCCTGGCGTGCAGCTTGCTGTCAGCCTCTCTTCATAAGACTTGTGCTCCAGATCCCTCAACAGCTTCGCTGCCCTTCTCTGGACCCGCTCCAGCACCTCAATGTCTTTTTTGTGGCAAGGGGCCCCTAGTCCCCAGACTTGGTCAACAGTTTATGTCTAAAGGATTATATATGTATAATCAACCCTTTCAGTTTTTTAGCTAAGGTTTCAAAGTTTAGCATGCTGTTAGTCACTTACCGAGAATCTGTTGCGGCGAGGAATCTCTCAACCCTCAAGGAGCAGAACCTCAAGCCAGTGCCGTCCCTCAAGGGAAGATCCTGGCGTGCAGCTTGCTGCTGTACAGGAGAGCTCAACGTGCTCTTGGTCTGTCCACCATTTATAGAGTAAGATAATTGACCTATAGTCAAATTTTCATGGGAACAAGGTATCTAGGTCCCCACTGCAGACAGTGTTTTGGCTGTGTTGCCAGCCATCCCCCAAAGTCCAGGTTCAGCTTCTCACAACTCCTACCAATGGCCACGGCCCCAGCAGGAGCCGTGGGGAGGAAGAGGAGGGAAAGCAGGGAGAGCACGCCTCACAACAGCAAACCACACTGGAGCTGCAGAAAAGGTTAAAAAAAAATGTTGCAGCGAGGAATCTCTCAACCTCGAGGAGCAAAACCTCAAGCCAGCGCCGTCCCTCAAGGGAAGATCCTGGCGTGCAGCTTGCTGCTGTACAGGAGAGCTCAACGTGCTCTTGGGCTGTCCACCATTATAGAATAAGATAGTCAAATTTTCATGGGAACAAAGTATCTAGGTCCCCACTGGCTGTGTTGCCAGCCATCCCCCAAAGTCCAGGTTCAGCTTCTCACAACTCCTACCAATGGCCACGGCCCCAGCAGGAGCCGTGGGGAGGAAGAGGAGGGAAAGCAGGGAGAGCACGCCTCACAACAGCAAACCACACTGGAGCTGCAGAAAAGGTTAAAAAAAAAATATATAAAAATATACACACACACACATATATATATATATATATAAATCAATGAGGATGAATTCTGATCTTAAACCACACCAGCCCTAAACCCAGAGGTTTCAAGACAACCCGATCAGGTGCAACCACAGCATCTACCCCTTTTCCTTGGGGTCATCCTGTGGTGTTTTGGCTGTGTTGCCAGCCATCCCCCGGAGTCCAGGTTCAACTTCTCACAACTCCTACCAATGGCCATGGCCCCAGCAGGAGCCGGGTGGGGAGAGGGGGGAAAGCAGGGAGAGCACGCCCCCACAACAGCAAACCAGACCAGAGCTGCAGAAAAGGTTAAAAAAAATATATATAAAAATATACACACATACATATATATAAACCAATGAGGATGGATTCTGATCTTAAACCACACCAGCCCTAAACCCAGAGGTTTCAAGACAACCCGATCAGGTGCAACCACAGCATCTACCCCTTTTCCTTGGGGTCATCCTGTGCTGGGACCACCATCCATCACAACCTGCACGTGCTGTTGGTGCCCGGGGAACTGGAGCCCACCAGCACCAAATCCCCAGGGCCGGGAACTGGGGGGGCTCTTGTGCTGCTCGAACCCGGCCTGTGTCAAACCCATGCACTCAAATGTACCAACGCCGCCAAGCTGCAACGCTTCTAACGGGATTAACAAGCCATTAACCTCCATTAAGAAATGTAATCCTGTTAACCGGAGAGTCTTCCAGTGCGCAGAGCCGGCTGCAGCCTGGTCCCACCCGGGGGTGGTGGGGGCTGCACAGCCCACCCAGAGAAACCGGCCCTGGATACTTTTTGCAGGTGCCCTCCTCTTCATTTGCAGTCTATTTAATTAACAGGGAATTCATGGCTGTGTCACTGTATTAGCCTTTCCCTGGCTGAGGTCCGTATATTTGGAGATGCTCACGGACAGATGCTGCATCCCCTCGTGGCTCTTGCTTTGAGGGTTCAAACACATTTTTAATTCCCTGTGTCACAACAGGTTCCCTGTTCCCCAATGATCCCTGCAAGCTCTCCTGACATCCCAACAGGTCCTCCCAGGAGCTGGTGGGTCAGAGCCCTGTTCCAGGTGAGGGCTCAGCAGGGCTTTGGGCAACGGTATTTATTTATATCTCCCTCTGCTGAGTCAAAATCTCATTTGATATATCCTAGGAATATATCTGCCCTTTTCAGATCCTCATCATAATGATGACTCACAGGATTCCCAGGGTACATCTTTGACACCAACGTATTGAAAGAAAGAAAAGAAAAACAAAGAAGAAAATAAAAAGTTCCTTTGGCTGCTTTGTGACTGTTTGGTTAAAAAAAAAATATTGTCAGCCACACATGCAAGGCAGAGGCTTTACTGCTGCTCTCCAGCCTGAACATACAGAGTTAAAGTTCACTGTGGCAGTACAGCGCGTGGTCACATCCTTCATATACCGGGACTACAGGCAGCTCTGCCAACAGCCCAACACAGCCCCCTCAGACAACAGCCATTCCAGCAGTGCCAAATCAAACGTGTGTTTCCAAGTGACTGAGAAGATGGATGCAGATAGGCCAGCACAGCTCCAAAACCCTTGCCTCGACACTCCACCACCTTCAACCCTTCTGCAGGCCCCAGGCTTGCCAGCTTCCTGTGCTGAAGACACAGTTCAAATTTCTCCCTTTTATTGTCCATATATTTTAACCTGTTGTTCCTGGTTTGGCATCCTCCCTGGAAACACACCTTTCTCCAACAAGGGTGGGAGCACAGAGGCAGGCATACAAGCAGGCACCCAGTCACATTTAAAATGCTCCAAGATCCACTAAGATGGGTCCTTCCCCCCAAAAGTTACAGCTGCACCATCTTTGATGGGCAGGTCTAAGAGTCCCCAAGAGCACTGCACGTTCCTCAGCCTGCCTGTGGGTCTCATTGGCCACCTGCACAGTGCCTTGGACACAATCTCATCAGCAAGCCTCGGAGATTCTGTCTGAGCCTGCTGGCAGCTTCCCAGCCACCTCCTCATCATATTAATGACAGACTAATGGTGTAATTTGGCTGAGGCCTGCACAGTCTTTCCAATCCCTTGATGTAATGACTAAAAGCACTTTCCAGCAAGATGCTTCTCCCCTTTTTCATCTAGTAAGGATAAAGTGAACGTCAAGTGTACTTGAAGAGCCTTTGTAACTCTGCAGCAAACTGGCTGAGATTTTCTGGGTCCTAACAAAGGAAGAGTACACCTAGCACTCCTCTCACAGGGCTGAGATTTATCAATATATGGGTAAAATAAATTGAGTTTTTAAGAAGCAGAATTCTCCAAGGGTACTTTCAGCAGATTTTAGAAAAATACTGTTTTGAAGTAGCTGTAGCTTTACAAGGAGGAAGAGAATTACTCCTATAGGAGACAATAATATGGGTATACAAATAATGTCTCCCGTATTTTTTTTCGGTAGGCAGACAGTGACATTTCTCACCCCTTAGAACAACCACCTCCGCAAGTAGAAAGATCATGTGTCCTAGAAACAGGTTAAATATTCTGTGTTTAAGAAGAAAGATATTTAAAAATGTTGAAAAGCGTGCATTTCTCTCCTGGCCAGCTGTTAGGGCAAGAGAATGACATTTAGGTCTCGGTCTCAAATCCAGAGACAAAGCTTTTCCTCCAGTTGGCCAGTCACACAACCCTCTGTCCTGCTCCTCTTCTCTTGCACACACACCAAAGCATCTTCTGCAGTCATGAATGAAAAGCAAGCCTCCACCCAGCACAATTGCATACACAGCCTGCAGGGCATTTCCATGACGACACTTGCTGAAAATGGGATAATCAAACCCTTCAATGCAGGAAAAAATATCCCAGTTATTATCAGGTTGATCTTGTAGCACAAACATTTTCTTCCCCGACCATGGAAAAGAGGGCTTTTTGTCAACGTCAGGTACCTGCACATGGCCAAGCATGTCACCTGCATAGCATCTAAGCTACTAGCCTCCAGAAGTTAAATGCAAGGCTTCAGGTTTGCTTTCCCCTGACCCTTCTCTACAGATTATGGGTGTAAAACATAGCTCATACCTCTGTGAGATTATACCTTCTCCTGTGCTCCTTGGTCACATTTGCTTAATACTAGCTCAGTTCCAAATCTTCTAGTACCAAAACCAGAAGTGTGAAAGACAATAATTTAAGATCAAGCTACACTGTACTAGCAGTAATACAGGAAAAAAAAAAAAAATAAAGACAGACATGCCGAGATACCTAAAAAGACCAGTTGTGACAAACAGAGCCATTTGTCTTTACACCAAGCCCACAGCAAAAGTGGCCTCTAGAATTTTTGCAGAGACATCCCTGCTGTGGAGTCAGGCTGTGGCCAAGGGACAGTGAATGTGTCACAAGCTCCTGAAAGGAATCAAAGAGCATGTTTGCTCAGGTGGCACCGAGGTTGGGAGTTCAGGACTCCCAGTTAATGAAACCAACAACACGACAGAGACTATCACAAATCAAACCCAGACATTTTAATCCCTGCATCAGGCAACAGAGCTGCTTCTGGCATTCTCAGTGTAACCTGCACAGAGCTGTAATGGGAGCAAATAACAGGTCTTATGGTACCAGCCTAAACACTTTATGGAAATAGTTGTTGATTCATCTATAAGCAAAGTATCATGGGAGTTTCACTTTTGAAAGTTGATGAGTTATAGAAAGCACAAAATGAAGTGTCCCCAAAAAGACTTCTTAGACATTGTAAATATTTTTTAAAAATGCCAACATTTCCACTGCATCACATTTCTCAAGCTTAAGGTCCAAATGGGAGATGAAAATCTAAAATAGAAAAAGTACCAAAAGCTTGGGAACCATGACTTAAACGAACTTTTTATTTAAACAGCTCAATTCAGAATAATTTTCTTACAAAACAAGGGCAAAAGTCTGCACACGTACCCCTCTCCTCACTCACCTGTGGAAATCAGGCTCAAGTCTTGAAGAAAACACCCACCTACACACCCTTCCCAAGCAGCCAGGCTTAATCCTGGGCAGTTAGCACAAGCTTCACCCTCCACTGACACAAGAACCACGTGCCATGGAACAGGTCCTAAGATTTAGCAGGTAAGGCCACAGCTCAGTGTGCTCAGGCAGACACGTTGCCCAATGGGCAACACACACCTCCCGGCAGACAGTTATACTGCTTGGTTTCAAGGTACTGACTGCTCTGCACAGACAAAAATCTGGGGCTCTCCCTCCTCTTCCCCACCTCCATAAAGCATTGAGATCTGTCTGGATCCTTTCTCCTCACTGCCAAACTAAATATGAGAGAGCCAGTTTGTGAGCAACTGAGGTGAGGGCCAAATTTTGCAAGTTACAGTTAACTCCTATAAATACAAACTGAAATTCTTGGAGATGGAAGACTGATTTTTAAAAGCACTCTGCTGCTGAGAAGTTAGTTCTCACAAGAGTTCTGCCCTGTGGACAGACAACCATTATCTGCTTTTTAAACAAAACAACTGTGGAAGCTGACATGCTGAAACAAAGCAGCTTGCTACTTGCCCGTGGCCACTCAGTCATCAGCAAAACCAGGACTGCAAAACCTGCAGGCTGCCAGGTGTGCACCGCTCATCTGTCACACTGACAGACTGCCTTCTCACCCTTTGAGATGAAATGCACTACAGATAAATAAATCTTAAAAGTCTTTTATTTTTGAAAACTGAAAAAATAATACTTGATTGCTTTTGTTGTCTCTTTTTTATTTAAAGAAGTCTCTTAGCCACCTTCTCTTTTCCTGTCACCATTACTTTTTAAAAAACTCCTCAATCCGCCGCTTTCTGGGGGGACTCACTGAACGCGTCTCTCCTGTATCCTGCAAGGCACTGCCAGAGTCGAACTCACAGCAAGCATCAGCTGCCTCCAAAAGCAAAGCTTCATCAATGTCATCTCTGCTCTCAGAGAAGGTCCTCTGGAAAAGGTCATAGATGGTCTTCTGCTTTGGATCTGGCTGAGAGATTAGAACAGGCAGAATCTGCATAAACATTGGCATATAAAAACACAGTGAGCAACAATCAGAGGGCACGGCCCCCGAGACAGTGCCCATGTGCGTATATATCATCTGATATATATATATCATACATACATATATACACATATATCTCAGAAACATATATATGCTACGGAAGTTATCATGTCTCCTTGCATGCAGCAGGTTTGGGAACTCTCTGCACAATCAAGGCATGGATCCTGGGAGCAATTGGAGAATCTGATCTGTAGCAGAGCAGGTATAAGGTCAGCCTGCCAGTCACCTGCCAATCTACATGCACACAAGACAAAGCCCATTCAACCTCTCCCAGGAACCATCAATGTTCTTTTAGGTCAATTACCTTAGGGCAGTAATTAGTAGATTCAGCTGTTTCGGAGAAATTGGTTTCTGAAAGACCAGCCTCCCCCAGCACTTCAATTTTCTCTTGAATCATTGGCCTGGGAAGGATAAACAGATATTACTGAAAGGAAGAAAATATCATGCAAGGACACTGTGTCATTTACTATGTGTAAAAAAAAAAAAAAAAAAAAAAAGATGTAACAGGGGTATTAAAGATGGCTTTTCTACCAAAGCTTGTTAGTTCCTTAACCTGTCCTGCTCTTGTTTATGATGACTGTACGCTGTCTTGAGGTATCAATCAATATAATTTAAATAAGTATCAATACAATTTAAATAAGTAAGAAGAAGAGGATTTCAGGCTATAAGTATTTGAAGAACACACATATCCAATAGGGAAACTAGCTGACTGAGGCAACACCAACGGTAGGAAGTCAGAACAAGAAATGCAGCAAAAGGGAATCCCAATGGCCTTCATGTTCAGCAATGGCAATCCCCATCAACAGACACATTGGCATTTCTAGGGCATCTCCTGGTGAACTGCAGGATGAAGAATCTATCACTGGCCCAGGAGGCTGAGAGGTCCCAACCACACCTGCAAACTGGACACTTTGAAAGAAGCAAAGGCTACAGCACAATTAATGCATTTACCAAACAGCCTTGTTGTCTTTTTTTCTTGCCTTTAAAAGGGACACCACTGTCCTCCTTTGAAGAGCCACATTTCCTTCCCATTTAGCATTAATGACTGCACGGACAGCATTTCACAAATAAAGGCAGAATTACTGTCATTAGCTTTCCATGAAATGTGGGTGATGCATCAGTTTCCAGATCCCTGCATTGTAGGGTTATAATTATTTGCCATCATGATATTCTGGGAACTGCACAAGTTCACTTAGTTCATTTGGTCCTTTAAACAAGGTAATAAAGATGTAATTTTGGACTTTATCCACCAGCTGGTTTGTTTAATTTCTTTTCATCATTTGCAGGTCAGTTCCCTTGCAACACTAAGGATTCCTCAGATCACGCCCTTCCCCAGGATGTCAGATTCCCCATCCCAGTGTCCACTGAGAGCTCTCACCAAAGCCAAAAGGCTCAGACCCCAGAGGTGGGTCAGTAGCGCTTCTTTAATGCATCCAAAAGGCTCACTGAATAGAAAGAGGAAAGCAACAGCGCAGTCCTCCTCCATGTCTCCCTGTCCAAGCTCTCAGCAGCCAGATTGCTGATCCACAATACACTGACCCATCTCCAGCGTCTGTTGACTTTACTTGAACGTACTCAGCACTTTACCTCAACACAGAAATGCTCTGGGCTGTATCTAAGACCATTGCTTCTCCTTATACAGAGACCGTGAAGGTTTTAGATGTATCAACTCTCCCAGACTTCTCTCAACAGCCCTTTCTTTGTCAGATAATTACTTTTATTCCTCCTGCTTGTCATCCACTTAGTTATGTCCACTGTGGCCAGGCCATGCCACCGGCTCACAGCAGCCCTGCTTGGCAGTTACTGCTCCTCTCCTCACAGGCTGTGGAAACCTTACATCACATATGTGACAAGCAGTGGAAATAGGTAGCAGGTGAACGAAAGTGTCTTTCCTCCCTTCCTACCATAAGTAGTCATCTGCTGTGCCTCTAGCCACCAGGTAGTGAACGTTAACGGAGCTGGTCTGTCCAATTCGATGCGCCCGATCTTCTGCTTGGATCAAAATCTTTATGTAAAAACATGACAAAGAAAATAACGTCAGAGCTGCAACATCTAAGAAATAGTTTAGGCACCAAGGAGACCTTGTTTCTTGAGCTTAGAGACTATTTCTCATCTGGATCCTGTTAACACCTGCATCTTCAGACACAGACCAAACCAAGAAGTAATTTGGTGCACCAGGTTCCCAAAAGACACTGAGTGTTTCTCAAAAGTAGAGGGTCAGCACTGATGAGGGACCCTCTGAGGTCTTGGCTGGGTGAGCTGTTGAGAGCTACGTCAAGTTAAGAAAGAGGAGGACATTTCCCTTTTATGCCATCTTCTCCACCCAGCAAGCTGTGTAACCAGCCCCACTAGTTCAAGCCCAGGCACCTGGAGGTGCACAGACAAGTAGCCATCAAAGAAAGAAAGACAAAAAACCCTAGAGAAAATCCCCTGCCCATTACATGTCCTCCTAAGCGCCAATGTTTCTGCTCTCCAGGGAACATCTAACCCTTGTCCCCTGAAGAATACATACCCCTGGATTCCAGAAAAGTTCTGCAAACACCACCAAGTCTGCAGCAGACAATGTCAGGCCCATATTTGCAGCAGTGAGGGACAGGACGGCCACAACCTGCTTCTCCGAGAACTGGAACTTCTGGCACAGGGACTGCCGCTCAGCTGAAGGTGTGGAGCCATCAATGCGAATGTACTCAACATGCTGTGAAACAGCAGAAGACTATACTTTACAGAGGCCTTGTGTCCCCTTTCCCGTATCCTCCTTCCATGTTTTAGTGGATTCTGTTTCCCTTCCCCATGGCAGAACCAGGAAAGTAATAAAGCGAGTTGGATTAAGACCTTTCCTCATCTTTAATGCAGAGACACTATAGCTCAGCATATAATGTACCTTCCCTCTGTTCACAATGCATGACAACGCTGTTATGTCCATTGCTCTCCCACCAGCCCTGAGCAACAGGAAGGACAGCAACAAGCTGGCAACTCAGGTACAGTAGAGAGGCAACTGACCACATATGAAGCTGAATGAATACTGTCTGCCTGTCTTCAGCTGCTACAACCTCCCCAACCTCCCTAAGTCTTCTCCTGTTTGCAATAGAAGATGGGATCCTACACATCTCAGTTGCTCTGTGGTAGGCTCAGGAGAGGCATGACACACTTGGGTGATGCAGGGCCATAACTCTTCAGTGTCCAACCCCCTTGTTCTACTGGAGGATGCTGTCACAGAGTTAGCAAAGTCATCACTGCCACTGTGATTTATTGCTTGGAATATTAACTTAAACCATCCTCCACATTGCCCCAGCATGACCCAGAACTCTTTAGGGGTGCATCCATGGAAGTCTCATGTGAATAATTAGGAAAACACTTTTGAAGTCAGAGAGATGATTGGCAGGTCTGACAAGTCTCTTCATACATTATCCCAGTTCAAAAATGTAAGAGCACCACAGAGATAAAGGAAAGCAGCCATAGCTGGACTTGGGGTGTTACCTTCTCCCTCTCTGAGGAAAGCAGAGATGGCCACACAGGGTAACACTCCTCCAAGAATTCACAAGCTCTAGGGCAGATGATGGAGATTAAAGAACATTAAATACAACAAAAGCCATTCAGCTAATACAAAGTGCATCCTGTGAGGCATTCATCCTGACAGCCCAGCTGCCTCAGTGAAGGGTACATCCAGCAGCACAGCAACTAGAAATTATCTCTGCTACTAACTTTCGTAAACTATCTGACCAGCAATAACTCTGGGGAGCTCTTAAACAGCTTTGAAGCTGGAATAGTGATAGAGTTAAGACAACTTATTCAATTACTTACTTTCTTTTCCAGCTCTGCAACTATTGCATCCAGCATTATCTTGTGATGAGCAAACACCAGGAATTTATCATTCCCCCTTTCCAGTAACTCCAGGATGTATTCTCTACATGAAAGAGGAAAAAAAAACCCAAAACTCTATAAACTATGTCCTGAGAAAATACAGGCTTTGCTCACAACAAATTTTAAAGATACTCTTATCTATACATAGAAACCAGGAAATAAGCTAGCATGAAAAAGTTGCAGTACAATGCAAGTAGCAAGTCAAGCCTCCTACAGATTGAAAGAGACATTGCAGGAAAAGCCACTCATTTTTCTTCACCACAGCTGGATGGTTGCCTACGTTTAAACTTGTGTATTAATCAATTTATTAAATCCTACTTGAAACATGACATCCCAGACCAATCAACTGGAGGCCATTTATACTTATTTGACAACCTCATCCACCCTTCTGCATTTCTAACTTTTGCACAGTCATTAAGGTAATCTGTATACAATTATCCTTTCTATGTATACTTAGGATTGCTTTTCTTTTAGAAGAAAAGGTCTCTAAACCCAAACATCAGAGTACCATAAAAGTAGCTTTGCTTGGTAGGGTTCACACTTACAATTTACTCCAGCTTAACAATCTAAATACATCAGCTATTTCTAGGAACTATCTATATGCATTTAGGATAATGACCAATGAAAGCTAACAAGACTCTTTTTAAATACAGTTAAACGGTGATAATTAAATCTGGCTTTTTCCATGGACTAATAGCTGAGCTGTAGAACTCATTTCCATGTAGTAAGTTGTGATACAACTGGAGCCTGAAAAACACCTAAAAGCCTAACATTTGTAACTAAGTATAGCAACAGCTATTAGAACAGATGATACAAATGTCATTTTTTCTTTGGAATAACAAAGTCATTGTGAAGTCAGGAATACCAAGTTCTCAGCTAAATACAACACAGCTTAGGTCAGCAGCAACTGTCAGAAAACACCAAGCGGGATTTCCAGCGCTGTATTAAGATGTATCAGTGCTTTGCAGACAGATGCCAGGGTTCATGATGTTCAGATCCCAATTACGTGAGAATATCATTTAACAAAAAAAAAAAATCTTGGAGAGAAGCAGGATTGCTGAATTTTAAAGCAAATATCAAAGTGATCATTCAAGCATAGCAAGCAGATGCCAACACATTACAATTACTTTGTATCTCATTCCCTTATTGCATTTAACAAACAGCTAACCACTTCAGGAGAAGCAATGGAAGACACTGTCATCAAGGGTAAGACGTGGGAGGTGCTGATGATCACAGGACAGTACCATTAGCTAGATGGTACTGTACATTAGCAGCTTATAATAAGTGGTATTTTAAGTGCTACTAAACCCCGGAAAAAAAAAGACTAGCTCCTACCAGAGAGTCAAGTAAACAGCACTTCATAGTTTTATATTCAGTTCACACTTGCAACTGAATATAAAAGGAAGAAAGTCTTCTAACCGTTCACTAACAAAAAAGGAAGAAACTCTTCTACAGAAATGAGTACTGGGACTCTGAAGTACAGATCTGTGCCAAACAGGCAGATTCTGCAGCAAGGTCTGAGACTGTGAAATCACACAGCACACATCAACTGGTCCTTACATTCAGAGGGCTGTGGAAAAACTGTTTTCATGTTATGAGCATACTACTTATTATAAAGGCATGCTACATGACCTAACAGAACTCCTTTGCAGACCCAGCAACAGGCTAAGGATAAAAGGGCACAGAAAGCCACAAAAGGAAATTACTCTTAGGGAAGGTAGAGTTAAGAGCACACCTATGATAGAAAATTTTTCCTTCTGAGGTCCCATGTGAGCTCTGTGAAAAAGCCAAGAACTTCAGCAGGGGCTGTGACATCCTTAGTGCACGCTATAACTGAAGCTCAGTCCATCTCATTCACTTTTTGGCTCGTGGTTCCTGCTGCAGCAGGACTGCAGCATTTGTTTTCTTAAATTCTGTTAATACTTTTTAGTTTCATTACTCCTTAAATTGAAATATGGTCTAGGCCAGGGAACTTGATCCAAGTTGCAAACACCAAGTAATTTTAGATGGTTCAAATGACAGTCTAGATCCAAATCTGGAATGAAATCAGAGGACTTACTCAGCCTACGACCTCTGAGAGAAGAAAATGTTTAGTGCATTGTAATTAAAATCAATTTTTCCTAAGCTGGCTTGAGGCTATGCTTCATGTCCCTGCACTGTTATCTCTAAGGCACCGTTTTCCTGTTCTCAGCGGACAAACACATTTTACTAGGCAAGAATGAAGTAATGACATGCAGCTTACACAACTGAATGGATTTTAGCTTCTGCCGTTCTGTTGTAAAAGAGAAAAAGAGCTTCCCTCTCCTGTTGTTTCTGCAGAGAGAAAGATAAACAAGCATGAGTCTCAGAAATGCCTTTTCTCCTTCTCGCTTACAGATCAGGGATATCTGAGGCTGCCAATAAACACTTTACTAGGAAAAAATATCAGCCTAAAAATGCACAACAAAAGGGGACTGGAGGGGAAAGTCTCCTACTCGCCACCGGGCATGGCAGATACTCACTCCTATTTCTGCCACCTCCCTTCCTACCTCCTACTCAACTCCTACAAGTTGGATGACAAGCACATCACAAACATAGTTTTAGTTGAGAAAGCATTCCCCAACTAAAATGGCAAGGAAAAAATCTTAAGTTCTTGCAGAACTGTATTAGCAACCTAGGAGCCTACAACATGCATTTGCTACCCATACAAGAAGAACAAACAAAAAAAAAATTAAAATACACTCTTCACATTTTTGGCTACCACTGTGCTCACAACACAGCTTCACCAAGGCTGTGTTTGTAGGGTGAATAGGATTATAAGGCAAGATAGAAGAGTAAGTACAGAGGCAGGAGGCACAAAAGACAATTAGAAAGGACTAACGAGAGAGGAAGAAAGAGAGAGGAAACGGTATTTCACACAAAAGGACAAAGTAGACCACATAAATCAAAAGGAAAAAAAGCTGAGCTGTTTTGATTGTGTTGTACGTTCATTTAAAACTGTACATTCACATGAGGTGTGGCTCTGACCTTCCTGGGAACTCAGGGTACTAGTTTTTTTATCAGTACCACTGATGTTTTTAAATAAAGGTACCTGAAATACCACTGGCTCATCATGAAAATAGTTTCTGACTTACACTGTCATATCCTTTGGTCATCTTCTTTGCTTCATCTGCCAAGACAGCTTTGGTCTTTGCACTGATGCCTTCAGGAGCCACCACAACCATTTTGCGTTGCTTTGCTGGGAGCTGGGAAAGCACATCTGATTTCAGACGTCGGATCATGATGGACTCTTTCAGCAAAATTTTCAGTTCAGTTAAGTTGGATGATCCAGAGTAGTCCCAACCCCATGGCATCTGGGAAAGATCAAAGCAGTTATCAGTGTCAAACATACAAAAGACTGGTCCCCAGGCAATCCAAGAGTAGAATTAACTTCCAGGGAAGCTGGACAAGCCAAGAACTTAATGGTCAGTAGGAAGGGAGATCTGACAAAAATGGCAGTAAGACAGAAGTGTACAAACTAATCCACCCAACCTCAAGAAGGTTACTGACAAACATCCCTTTTTCCTATCTACAAGTGCTCAGGGAGGTGCAGGGAAGAGGACTATGCAGAAAGGTAGGGATTCCTCCCACTGCACTGCACCCTCGTATCCATCCTCGCACGGCAAGGTGCTGTGCTCCTGCTCTGCTCTCCCCCTGCAGCTTTGGGCAGGCTGACAGCACCCACTGCAGCTCTGTGCACACACATTTACCTCGGCTTTAAGCAGAGAGAGACAAAAATCTTAACAGTGTGAGGACAAACAGCCTTAACCCAAATGCGTTCACAGAGATGTTACACTTGTCTGACATGCCTAGTAAATGCTAGGTCAAAATTGCCCATTTTTCCACTGTGACCTGTCTCTTGATCTGCTTCCTGACACGCTCTGTTTCTGCCATTACCATGTTTGGCCCAGACTCAAGCAAACCGTAAATAAATTGTGGCCCAAAATAAAATCACTCCAAACATTGTCTCTTCAAAGCACCATCACTTGAAAGCTCCTCTGAACAAAACCTTCATTACTCCTCCCTTGAAGCACTTGCTTCTGAACCTGCCCAATCCTCCAAAATCTTGTGTGCAATTAGTCTCAGCTCATCACTTCTACCAGTAACCCTATGGCCTATCATTTGTTCTCTGGGAAAGGACAACAAAGCTGACAAACGGTGGCATCAAAATTGGTACATTCCCCAAAAGAAACATCTTTCTTTTGGAGAGGAGACCGATAAGGTTTTTATGCTGAAGTAAAGGATAAAGAGACGCCTTTCTGCTGAAGTTTCACAAATAAATATCTGAAATACAGCTACTGTAATACTGAAAACCAAGGCAAGGGGGAGGGGAAATCTTCCTCACAGCTCTAATTCCAAGTCTTACTGGCAGTGTCACCAAAAAAGCCAAAAATACAATCTTCAGTCCTGGAACAACAACCCAAAGTAACCCCCTACATATGTATACGTAAACCTTAAATTGCATATAATGGAGACATGAAAAGCCTCAGCACCAACTTCTTTGATCTGCTGCTCCACTCCCATTGAGCCACATTAATAGCTAAAATAGATTTAACCTTAAAAATCTATACATCTTTTATTTGCCTTCCCCAAGAGAAACCTGCTGCAACACAGAAATGGAAGTAAAATAGGAAAAAGCTCCAAAGAATCCACTGCACCCTCCATCCTCCTGTGGAAGGCATAAGACAAAAAATAAGTCATACCAGCCATGAGGTTAGTCGTGTTACTGACTGTATTAAGGGATGGTGCTTCGATGGAACAGGGATGAGAACATGCTAGGAGACAGAAAGAGTAGGAATCAAAGAGCTTATAAGCAATTAAGACCTCTCTGATATCTGGAAGCGAACATTCCTACTTCAGGTTGAGACATAACAGGACATTCTGCAATTCTATTGCCCTGGTGGGAATAGATGGGAACCTTTAACTGACTTAGTATCCTGGCACTTTTGGCCACCATTAAAACCGATTTGGCTTAATCTATTCCTACATAATTATGGTAGCATCTGATTATCTATAGTTGGTTCATTAAATTTGGAAACAATTCAAACCCTAGACCCAATGCCAGTTTGGATCCTGTAGAGTTAAAACTCCAGCTCTGACAGCAGCACAGTGGTACACAGCTAGAGGTAATAAGCCCACCTGGATGGAAGCCAAGCCCTCAAGAAGCAACATGGGTATTACTGCTCTGCTTCCCTGAAACCAGGAGTGCAATGCAGATACATCCCTCCAGTCTGAGCAGAGCTGGCTCAAGTCTAGATGGGTTTATTAGCTTCAGGCACGCTGCAGGAAAGCTGACCTCGCTGCATCTCTTCAGGCTGTGTGGACCCAGCAGAGCAGAAGTATGGAACCAAGAAGCCCCGTAAGCCCTCAGCCCACGCTACTCAGTGTGCTGGTAGCTAAGCAGCAGGGATCAACGCTGACCAGGCTGCAGAGCAAGACTTGCTATGGAGCCTGAACAACTCAGGCTACCTCATTCTACTCATGCACCCCATGTTTTTCCACTTTCCACTTCCATAACAAGTAATACATATGTTTAGTGTCCACGTCCATTTCAGAGAAGTAACATCATCGTAATTGAAAGAACAAGGCATGAACAGAGCCAATATGCTATCTAGTGTCACATTAAAAAGCATATATGGGCAGAATCCCTCCAGTATGTTCAGATTACTATATTTCTTTTATGGTGACTGTTGCTGGAACAATTTGCAAACAAAGAAACATGCTAGTTCTGTACTGCACCTAGCTAGTGATAAAAAATATTATTATTTTTGGAATTACTAAAACATAGTTTAGTATATCCTATTGTGGAAAAGGAGAGAGAGAAAAAAGAGGAACAGTTATTTTGCCAAAATACACATCTGGCTTTGATCCATATCATTCCAGAACAAATGCTTCCAACTGTGATTTTCTTACCAAAGTGTTACAGCATCTTACATGAGTCAGTAAACTTATTACAGCGTTAGCAGAAGCTGCCAAACTCTTACAAATTCAGAGCATGTGCTCAGATAGAAATTATTTAATATTTGCCAACTTCACCCAGTTTGAAAAATGAATTCACAGCATGTATTTTGGGAAACAGACTTGAGATATTTTGTAAATAAGCAGGTGACATTTCACTTGCTGCATTTTTAAGAGTAAAGATGCTGGGAGGTTGAATTATAAAATGATAAACTTTTATTTTATATCTTTTCTAATCACATCTGCCAGGTATTTGCAATTTTCTGTCATAAAATCTATTATCTTCAAACAGAAACTAGTCAGGTTTTAGTTTTAAATTGAACGGTTCAGGGTTTTTCAATTTTTTTAAATCTTATAACGCAATCAGATTTACTATTAATATCAAAACATTTTTACATAGCACCTTTTATCCTGACAGATCTCCAAAAGCCTTGCACAACCTCTCTGTTTCTGCGCAATTCCATCCCCACTCATAATGCTGCCACTTTCAGGACAGAAAGAAGAACCTATTTAAGTAATGACAGCAGAAGTACCACAAGAGTTCTTTAGAGAGGATATAACTCCTAACACAATCTCAGGTTAGAGCTGCAAAAAGGAACATGAGGGACATACTACAGTCATGAGGGAACAACTACAATCATCAAAACACCTTTTAATTTACTCATTGCTGAGTGGATCTATCAGAACTCAATATTCAGCAGCCCCATTTTTTCCTGTAATACTATCCACATCTCTTCATTGCCAGCAGCCCCACTTCTTCTCTAAATAACCAAATTCTTTCTAGGTTCACGCTATCATTTACTGACATTAACTGCAGCAAAATGTCCCAGGCGAGCACTGAGAAGACCAGTAATGTTCTACTGTCTAGTAGAGGCAGGTCAAACTGAGAAACAAAATTGTACTAGAAACCCTGCAGAGGTTTTGAAGGGAAGCTGATACAGACTGTGACCTCCATGCTGAGTTTCACTGTAGGTTGAAAACTCATTTACACAGAATACACTGTTACAACCTGGATCGTGCAAAACAATTTTATTTCTTTTATCCAATTCAACATCTTACCTGAGTTTCACGTCTGGTAATTGAAGCAACAGCTAGTCATGCAGAACTTCACCCTCAAAGGGTTTATGGAGCTCCAAACCTATTTAGATTCACATGTTGCAATTCAACTTTCCTTTTTACTGCAGAAAACCAATGAGATTAAATTGCATCTCTTAATTTCCCTCTAGGAAGCATTCTGGCCACTGCTCAGACAGGAATCTTTCAACAAAGATAATGAAGCTCAGGAGAAGACGTGGCCCTCTCCCTCCATATGATTCCTACTGTGGATGGATGTCATCTGCTAGAACTCAAGCTCTGTGTTTGTGACTCCGCATGCTAAATGACCTTACTTTCATCAATGGCAGCAGCATATGAGTATCAAAGCCCATGAAATGCTCATCTAGCTTGCATGTTTGGACACACACAGCACTACACTAGCAATGAAAGTAAAAGAGGGCTTCCAGATCTAGGAAAAAAGGGACTTGAGAACTTTATACAAGACTGGAGTATGAATGAATCATCTTGATGGAAACTTGGCATATGTTAGCTACCCTAAACAGAGAAAACACACACAAAAGCCCTACAAATAGCTATAACTATATTTATGGCGTACACTGACGACGTTCAGTTCTTCTGTAAAGATTTTTGAGCATTGAAATGGTCATCTGGTGTTGCAACCACTCTGCTGAAAGTTATTGCCCAGTCTTACAGAAAATGCAGCACAAGAAGTGAAACGGATACTCAAGAACAAAGCAGAGCAAGCAAGTTCACATGCTACAAGTCCATGCTCACATTGCCAAGCTATTCCATGCCACAAGCCAACTGCTACGTGCTTGTCCTGGAGGAACTGGAGGGCAAGGCAGATTAGAGAGCTCCTGCTCCAAATGAGAACTTGGGGGAAATTTGGTTTCCCTTTTTGTGTCTATGCAACCAACACAGAAGATCCTAGAGCCTCCTCGTACAACAGGCAGCAGCAAAAGCTCTCCTCCTAGCAATGTGTGTTCTACCCTAGAGATGGCAAATCCAAGCCAGACAAGTTGCCCATACGTTGAGAGCAAGGCAGACACCTGCCATCATGGCTGCAATTGCTGGCTTCCTGCAAAGCCAAGATCTTACAGTGGTTGGACTCAATGACTCCATTGAAACCACTGCTGAGCAGCTGTCAGAGATAAGAGAAGTTGATTTATTTTTTTTATTTTCAAGATATGCTAAGGACCACATCCATTTCCTGAATTAGAAGAGGGTGGAATGCAGAGATGGACTATAAGTCTTCATTTTTCACTTACCTGGAGGTATGAAATTCAATATCCCAAGCAGCTGAGACCTTACTTTGTTGAACAGTCACTAAAGCAGATTAGAAACTGGTTTGGGGATTGTTTTTTTTAATCAATTAGCTTAAACTTGTAGCTGCCCAAAGGCCCCAGATTTACTCTGCCCACTTCAAACACTCTGGGGGCAAGTTCTTTTTAGAATAAACTCATTTCCCTTATTTCCCCAGCTACAGCTTTTTTTTTTTTTTTTCCTTTTCTTTTTTTTTTTTTCCCCAGCTTTTTACTTCCATGGCTTTCAGGGCAGATTTTGACATGACACAGAGAATAACCACTTTCACATCTCAGGCCCACCACTGCCGCACCTAGAGCTTCTCACGTTGAAAGCTTTCAAAATGTTACTCTGCAGTGAGATTTTCTCAAAAACGAGGTAATACGAGACAGAAGGAAGGCAAGAAAAAACTTCCACATAAAATGCTGTTTGCAGAGTCCCAGTCTGCCACTCCCCCCACTGAAGTACCTTCTTGGCATCACAGTAGCGTAGCCCAAAGGAGTGGAACTGTGGAAAGAAGGCCGGCTGCACTGCCATGATCTGCGTGTAGAGCTCTGCGGGCCGTGACATGGCAGGGGTTCCCGAAAGCAAGATCACTCTCCTGGCAGCCTGGGAAAGCAAAATGGAGCATAATTACCATACAGCTTACAGTATAAGCAGAATCTGCTAAGAAGTCATCCCCAGTCCTGAAAGAAAATCCCAGAGCCATTGTCCAAGCACCTAAAGAGAAGAGTACTTGACCTTCCACAGATACTTTCAGCCTTCACTGCCTGAAGACAGTGCTACGGACTCAGGGACAGCGCTTAACACTTGTAGGAAGCAGGACAAACCATACTGTTTATTATTCATCAACCACATGCTGTAAGGGAAGGGGACATACATAAATTTTTATGACAGTACTTTCTGAATTGGCATTTACCCACTAGACAAGTTAATATCTTGTGCCTGACTCAACCTTTCATTTGGCATCAGATGTCACAGGAAAATGACACACCCTTGCAGGTACATCCTCACATCCAAAAGAAACTCTCTGGTAATAAACGTGGCACAGTGAGCTATAAACAGACTGTCTTCCTCATAAAAGCAGAAGATATCCAGGGAAGTAGGATTCAGATTTCTTACATTTTGTTCATTTTTTTTTTTCATTTTAAATTCTACCAGCAGGGAAAGAAAGATGAAGCTGTGTGAAGCAGGACCAGAAGATGTCCGCTTGACAGTCATGGTGAGTCTAGGCACAGCTGGCTAGATGCTAGAACACAAGTTAATAAATATGAATCATGTAAGAAGATTATAAAACACGTGTTGTAGGGGAGACAGGAAGGGGGTGGGGTGGGAAACCTGTATCTAAAGCAGGTGCTCCCAAAAAGTGGGGAAAAAAATTATACTATAGACATAAAAGCCTTCAAGATGCATTTCTATCCTCATACCTCCATTATCATCTAATTCTATTATTAGATCAGAGCTGTGAATTTCTACTGCTGTAAATTCACATATAGTAGTTAAATTACAAATGCCTTGCAATTTCCTGCATGGTTTAATGCAGGTTCATTAAAATAACAAAGAGATTCTTGAGTGACACCTGTACCAACAGCTCATTCACATTTAAATGAAAAAGAAAATTAAATTCTTTTATCGTTTCACTGAGATCTACCAGTCACCCAAATCTATTCAGCTGATTCATCCACTCACCAACCAAATCTGGTGGAAAAAGAGTTCACAGATCAGCTACCGGAAATTAATTTCAGGACACTTTATCAAATATTTATATATAGGTTGTAATCAAGGTGGGACTTGCCTTCTCCTTCCATCCCTACTAAACAGATCAGAAGGAAATGTGATCATCCCCAGAATCAGACAATTCCCATAAACATGTAAAAAGAGCAGGATATTTATTGAACTAAACAAGAGGAGAGGTCAAACCTTTGGACATGTCGGAAGGTGAGAGTTAATTCACACAAGACAGATGCCTAGGCTGCTCAAAAAGAGGGAGGAGTCACAGAGGCCAAAGATACCAGATCCCATAAGGAAACAAAGTGATAAAGCAGAAATTAGGTCAGTTTTTAAGATTAAGGTAACAGTGAGGGACAACTGAGCAGAACCTAGACAGTATCTGATGCCTTGCAGAGACCTTTGAGGAGTAAACTGACACCACCCTGAGAAATCTGCTGAAACACAAGACAAGTTGGTCCCACATGTGCAAGAAACCTCCAAATTAAACTTTTTCCTCCTGGACTAACAAAAGGCCACTGATAGGTAAAAGACAACATGAAGGTCATGCAATTAGACAGCTCACTTAAAATATCTCCGGATCAAGCTAAAGCAAGTTCACTCAGACCAAGGACATACTAAGTGCAACATAAACCTGACTGTCTTGAAGGGTTTTATGCCATTCTTCAGGTTCCTCCTCTTTGGAGGGTGCTCCCCAGGAGCTACATGAGACAAACTTAGAAGACTTATTCTCTAGTAGCCAAAAGAATTAGTTAGGCTCCTTCCCCAACCCCAAGTAGGTATCAAGAGAGAGAATGATGAAGTTACAGGTTATTTGAATTCTAAACTTGTCCAGCCACTGTTTTGCTGTGCACAGCTTAATTTTGAACAGTTAGGTTATCTAACAACTGCAAGCGCTTTCCAAGGGCTGTGATACATCTTCTATAATTAACCTTTTTAAACAAATAGAGGAGTAAAAACAACAGTAAAAAAAAAAAAACACCAAAAAAAAAACAAAACCTCAAAAGACACTAGCTCCACAAGAGCTGTGAAGATCTTGAAGAAATTAATTCCAGAGAATTGTGTGAAACATAGGTGGTCTAAATAATCCCCAAGGTACCTTCCATTTTAAATTCCATGACAGAAGAGCCCAAGAGAGAAAAGAAAAAAAAGTAATCCTCAAAGACAAGTTTCTTAGTGTTGAAAGCCTACTTAAATTCTGAATTAAAGAAATGGCTTTGATTCACATCTCTTTTTTCTAGTGGCAACTCATTTTGAATAGATGCCAATAAAGATTTGCTCCTGCAGAAAAGTCTCTGCTGATGATTGCTTGTTTCCTGCTGAACCTTCTTTTCTGTCAAAAGTGAGAACTTACCCTTTTTTTCCCCGAGGTCTATAAGAATAACATGGAACAACAGCACAGAAAGTAAGATTACAGTGACCAGCAAGGACTTTCTAGAAAAAACAGGTCTGTAATCAATTGATACCTATTTCCACATAGAAGAACTAACTTTAGCTGGTCACTAGAATTTAGGTATGAAGTTCAATCTTCTCCAGAAGCATTCCTCTCTCTCGTGTGTCCTTGTGAGTGTTCTTACAGCTGCTTTCTTTTGAGACTGCTGAAGTGAACTATGACAATGAGTTGACCAGTGGAAACCTGTTCCGTGGCTCTCATTTACTAAGTAACATGAGTGGTGCACGCACAATGCACCAGCCAGAATGAATTCCACAGCTGTGACAACGTTTACAAATGTCACTTTAGAAAGTCAAAGAATAATTTATGAAATGGTAACCCCCAATGGCACTTATTTTAGAGATCATAACCCAACACCCAACTGAATTGAAGGGGAGTAGGTAAGGAGGAGGAGGTATGCCACAAAAAATAATTGAACATGCAAAGAGCCTCATTAACATACAATGATTGTCTCTGTGTTAAATGCATTTCTCAGCATGAGCTCTGCCATATGCTAACGGACTGACATACTTTTTTAAATAAGTGTGGCTGGTTCTGGCTGTACAACTACCTGTGTCCCCAGTTTTTGCTTACTCTGTCATTTTGAACTGCTTAGCATAAGAATATCTTATCCTGTGAAATGAAAAATGTGAGAGTGGTCATAATATAATAGAGATAATCACCTGATGAAATAGAAGATTTGATAAAGGGAAGGGGTTGCAGCTGTGTTGTTCTGCTTCTGTACTTGGGTAAGATAGATAAGTCTCTGCATTTCATCAGATGATCCTGCAGTGGTTATTCCAAAAAATATAAATGTCTTTCCCTATTCTTAAACGACATCTAGACAGAGAACGTGTATCAAATGGCAATGGTCAACTGTGGCCAAAACAAATTACACTACCTCCCTCTTTTGAGAAGGAAGGGAAACTAGAAGGTAACAGCAGATCCGAAGATGCAGCCTTGAGGGCCCCGAGCTTCTCCAATTTCAAGATGAAGTTCCTTCTCTCAGCAGATGACAACAAGCAAAGGCTTATTTATCCAATCCATATGAATCTGTAGTGCCTAAAGACAGCTGCTATTTATTTCCCACTGGTAAGGGAGATTTTTGTGTTCCCTCCTCACCTTCTACCTTCAATATTGACCTATTTCCCTCTATTATTTTAAAGCAACTCTTTATAAAAACAAGCACAAAGATATTAGATTCCAGCCACACCATGTGTTTGGACTTCCATAATAGAAGCAAAGACCTTTAACCCTGCAGACATCAGTATGTGCATCATGCTATTAACCTGAACAGCAGCTCAATAGGAACAATCACATTAGTAATACTACCCAAATGTTGTGGAACAAAGCCCATAGGGAGCACAGCAGACATAAGACCATTTTATGCTACTGGAATCTTTGATTAGATACTTTTTATTTCTCAGTTTCTAACCCAATTCTTCACTGAAAACTTACTGTCTTGCTTCCAAAAAACTCATCCATGTTCCATTGGGACCTTCCCCAGTTTCCACTGCCTTGCAATACTCCATGCAATTACAGAAGAACAAAGACCATGCAGCACTTTGGCTGGTCGAAGGATGTAGAATCCTTTTCACTTCAGTCCTCAAGAGATCCCACCACAGATCAGTGAAAAACTTCCATTTTGTTGTTTCCTCTTCATCTACACCCTTGGGGCTTTGCTGGTTTATGGATATTGATAGCACATATACCCCCTCTCTTATGCTCACGTCTCTAGACCAGCCTAATCTTGTAAGGAAAAAAACAAAATGCCTACAAAAGATGTAACACCGTGACATTTTCTGCCTCTGAGGGAGGCAGATGCAGGGCGGAGGGAAAGGGAAAAACTAATATTGTCAGTACACTCAAGAACTTGTTCCTAATCATGAGAACTAAAGAAAATAGCAAGGTGACAAGTAGGTCCCATTACTGGTTGCCACAGCTCTGGATTAGGGGCAGGGACAAACCAGGTGTGAAAATGGTGACTCAACCAAAGCCCAACAGTATGAGAGTATTCTCATATTGCTGTGCGTGGAAACAAGACAAAGGGACCACTTTGAGCCTTCTTGAGTACCACAAGAGATGCTGAAGCTGGGGACAGATCTCATGCAGCTGCTGGCACAGAGTGGCCAGCGCAAAAGCTGGCTAAGCTTGAAAGCAGGATTTTTGCCACATGCCAAAACATCAAAGAACTGTTTTCTACTATGGCTTTCAATCCATCCGCCTCCATAATTTTGCAGGGATGTGCACAGAATGTGTACAAACTCTGCCACCTGGTCCCATGTAGGCGGATGAAGTGTTCTCCCCCATGTACAAGTGAAGGGAGTAAGAAATCTGGCCCAAACACTTTGCTGCTATTTCAGCTCGCTCTATCTCACTGTTTGTGTAATTACAAGTTCCTCTCGAAGTTTTGTCCAATAACAATACATTGGGAATAACATGCCTTTATATACTTACTCCAAACTAAAGGCAACCTGAGGCAAGCTACCAGGTAGCCAGTGTGGTCACTGCATACATTCAGCCATTATAAAAGTGCACTTAGAAGTCTTTCTGGTCACGCTTCCCACTGTCCCAAGCAAAACTCCTAAATCTCTGTCAGGGTAGCAGCTAAGCATGTCACAAAAGATACTGAATAACACACACCAAATACGGCACACACAGAGAGTTTGTGGGTTTTTAATATTAAAAAAAAGTCTAGAAGTTCCCAACTGACAAACTGAGGCCACATGTTTAATACATGGTTCTACTTGATAATTCCGTACCACACTTGCTCCACAATATATACAAAAGAGCAGGAAAAGATTAATTATTGAGTGGCTAAAAATACCACTTCATTTTGAAAACTGGTCAATGTCAGATATTAAAATTAAAATGGGGCTTTAAATGCTGTAACCATGGGTTAAATACTTCAGAGGTGAAAATTCAGCTTGGCTCTAAGAAGGAAGATTCAAAATTAATATCCAAGGTAAGTCATCTTTGTTATGAATGTATTGATTTAATCTGATTATTGTGCAGTTCTGTCTAAACACTCGCAACAATTTTTATATTTTACTTATTATTCAAATGGAGAAGTCACAAGAGCAGATTCTATCAAGATAAAAAGAATCCATTAAGTAGAGATGGAAGTGACAGAAACATTTCAGGCGCAGAAACAATTTAACTTAGATCTGTCCAGTGTCATTATGGACTCATAAATCTTTGTAGCATACGAGGACCAAGGATCACATTGCTTTGGTGGATTTTTTTTTTTCCTTTTTCTGTCCCCAAAAGCCAGCGCAAGGCTAAGCTTCAATGCTTTAGGATGTTGAGAATCTTGTAAGAAATGTAAGCAACTGTGGCAATTTCATAAAGTTTAAAGTAATATAACATTAACACCAGATAGAAGTGGCAAAGCTTAGAAGGTAGACAAGGCACCGACTGGCTCCAGGGGCTCTGGTTATGGCACCAGCACAGCTTCACACTGTGACCTTAACGTAGGGCCTCAGGTGCTAGAAGCAGTGTTACCTATGAGGGGCTTCCCTATGGATACAGCTTTTTTGGTCTCTTCTCAGAGCCCCAGTACTGCTCTAATCCCTTTAACATAAAGGAGGCAAAAGCAAGAACATTATCCTCAGCAGCATGTTTATCAATGCCTCTTATTCAACAGCCTCAAAGTATCATGTAAACTACTGAAAATACTCCCAATTTTTACCCCATTGACTATTTACTGTAAAGACGACACAGCAGAGTTGTCAAACCCAGTTCTTTCAAATACGAAAGCATTGCTGCAATGTGCTGTGCCAGTAGTGAACACAGCATCACTCACTAGTAGTTGGAGACAAAGCTGCCAAAGGGGCTAGTTTTACAGCAAAACTCCTGCGTTGGAAAGCAAGGAGGGCAGAAGAGCGGCTATTACAGTAAATACTCACTTCAGAAGTTATAGTCAGCAAGCAGGAAAATACAATTTACCTGAACATCTAACACGAAACATCTGGTTCTGTATGGTGTTTGCAGGTCAGATAATGCATGATACAAACATGCAACTCTTAATGCTTTCAGAAGACAGAAATTCAGTTTCAGAAGCACCAGTTCTCAATTTTCCAAGACCCATGATGTGACAGTATAAAACTGTAAATTCTCAGTAAGTGCATACAGGCAATTAACCTCCGCTTAACAGCTACCATCTTTCACTCTCGTATCTTGTAGCCTGCAAATAATTTTGACAAGCTAATCCTTACAAAGGTACAAGTAGGAAAGGATAAGACTGCTTTTTGAGCATTTGCAATGAGGTAAATTTGTTATTTTCCTCCATTTTCAGACATACACCCTAATTATTGTACTTCAAACTGCTCATAAAATTGGACCTCCTACTTAGTTTCCAAACATTAAAAAGCATGAAGTACTTTGAAAGCCAAGAGAAGACAAGAGTCAGGCCTTTAAAGAGAACAATGAAGTTATTCAAGGACAACTACTTTCAGCTTCCCCTTAACTTGCTTATAAAAGTTGGTTGCTATAAAGCCATCACAATCAGATTTTCTCTTTACACACACTTCTGTTAATTGCTGAATAGGAACTGTGTTTACCTTGTTCTAATGTACAGACTCTGCAGTGCCTAGAAAATACTCGTAACTTTAATCTGCTAGCGGCTACCAGGGAGTTTGATTTCTTTGATCGTGGAACAACAAGCAGACATTAAAATTTACATCTCTCCTGTTATCTCATACTAGAATATTGCCTCCCTTCTGTGGGCCACTTGTCTTGCTAACCTCACGTTCTGCCATTTCCTACTAGTTCCGTACATTTAACCAACGTGAGTGCTCCTGAACCCTAGTCACACAGATACATTGGATGGTTGCAGTAACAGAGTCGAGTCCAAAACCAAATCCAAGGACAGGACCTAGGTAATGTCATTTTGATATACAGCAGCTCTTCGTGTGCCAAGAAGTAACTGAAGTGCCAAGAAGTTCCATTAAACAAGCTACGTTGACACTACTATGTTCTTTCTACTCTCCCTGAATACGTGCAGTAAGTTTTGACATTCCCTTTTTGCCATCACCACAAAACTCATTAGTGGCAGTACCACAATTAGTTCAAGGGAGCTTCTAAAGTTCTTTTGTTAGGTCTTACCATCTAACATTTGCATGGAAACAACTGGCTGGGCCAGTGACAAATTTTGCTCTTGGATGTACAACATGACCTGGATTTCCACTTGCACAACGTCAGAATTCAGCTGTTGGCTCCTAAACCAGACAAATGGAGCAACACCGCTTTGGGAGCCTGACCTGAGCTGCTGAAGGTTTGGCACCCAGCATACGCACCTTGAGTAGAGGCATGGCAGCTCGGCATCGTGCAGTTTTTATGTTCTTTAGGAAATGAGATTCATCCTGAAACAAAACAAGTATGAAAGTGAAGACAGTTCTGATCCATAGTCCAACTTCAGGCTACAGAACAAATCCCCAATATTCTCAGCTACCTAATATTACAAACCTATCATCCAGAGGATACTTCAAGCATTGGGATAGTCACATCAAATTCTAAATGAAAAGACAGCATGGGGGAGTAGCAGGCTTCCTACATTCAAACCTGCAGCTGCAAGCAAATGGAACAGAAATGAAACCTTAAAGCCATGAATCTCAAATGGTTGCAAACAAGTGAGTGGAGGGGGCTGGAGAGGGAATGAGAAAGAGGTACATTATCTCCACCACCGATACTCATTTGCCCCTATGTGTCCCTTAAATGCAGCAAACACAGGAGGCCTATACAGTGCCACTTCCCTAAATAAGGGGTTAATGAAAACGACCAGGAAAAAAAGAAATCTAATTAGGATCCAACTGTTCTGCTGATAGGGCTCACCAGGTGGATAATAGCCTCCTACTTGAGACATCACCCCCAAACAGGCTTCATTTCTACTGCTATAGCAAGGCAGAACTTAAGACACAAAAAAGTAATCGGGGCCCTCCAAGGGTACATTCTCATCTCTTCATGTGTGGATGAGCAAGCAACCATGCATGCAAAGGCAATACAGCTGCTTAGCCTCTCAGGCACAGCCTCCTCCCTCCTGATTAACACATAAGCTACAGTAATGTTCCCAGACATCAAAAGAAGATTGGAAGAAAAACCAGGGAATCTCAGCACCCAGTAGAACTATTCTCATCTGCAAAAACACATACAAAGCCCTATAAACACACAGAAATAACATCTGTCAGCTCAGGGCTGGTAAAAGGTTCCAGGACAGTAGCCCTAGAGCCCAATTCCTTTTACTTCAAGCACCAGCACACGAAACTGACAATCCGTATTTCCACCCTGACAGAACGTCTTGTCAGAGACAGGGTAGGGGGAAAAAAAAATTAAAAAAAAATAATCAACTCCCCCATGAGTACTTTGGTCTCCAAATAACTCCATCTATTGCCACATTCCCACCTGATGCTGAGAAACAAAAGGATTATTATGTTCCAGTTGTCATGATCTTAGAGACAAAGTGCATGTGTGCGCTGAAAACTAGACTGAGAACATCAAACACCCATAATAAGCTACGTAGACACTTTTGGTCTCTATTGATCCAAGGTGGATCTGAAACACTAGATGTTTTGAATTTTTAGTAACTGAAATCTAGAAAAATGCCTTTTACCATGGCTCTGTAAAAGGTTAAAAAATGGATTCCAAGTAATTCACAAAATAAGTTATACAAGTGATCAAAGGAGATAATGCAGATTGTCAGTGGAACACAAGCAAAGGAAGATTTTTTGATGTTTTACCCGCATACTTAATGTTGAGAGGCTATCTGCTTTACCAGATAAACACTAACATCACCCTGAAGTCCCATCTCCTCCAGAAGGTACAATTCCAAGACTACTGTTATTGACACACCGCATTAAACACTTTGCTCTCCAGTAGAGAGCATGCCCAACCAAAGTGAAACCAGAGAGGCTAGAAACCAGTAAAAGAGAAAACACAGCCTCAGGAATCAAAAAGGAATTAAACTCTACTAGTTATCTCAAAAGGTTTCAGAGAAACATCCTGCTTCTACTCAGGAGAAGAGCTATGATCACAGCCACAATTACAAGATATTTTAAATCCCAAATGAGGCCCACTTCGCGCTTCTCTGCTGTACAACACAAAGGCTACCCCATTTGCAGCATACAATTAACTTCAAAATTTTAGTATTCCACTTACAATAATAACTACTTGGAAAGTGCTCTTAAGTTGCTTGTCCATCTTGCTGAGAAGGTCAAAGCTGACGATGTTGACCAAGCTCGCTGTTAGGCTGTCTTTGCCAGTCACTATGACCTTGGTGCTACCTGGACTCAAGGATGGAAGCCACCTGTGAAATGCCTGGAGGAAGAAGAAAGCAATTAATTGAATTCTGGTGCTTATGTCCTCTGTCAGGATCCCAAAGCACTTCTCAGAGCATCGTCATGAATGCTTAGAACATGGAACCACCCCCCCCCTCCACCATTAGACATCAGCTGGGAGCACAGCAAGGGTAAGCAGCCTTCCCAAGGCAACAACCATAGTAACAGCAACAGAGGCTATAAACCTAAATCTACCTTCCAGGGCTAGGAAGGCTGAAATACACTCTATTCTTGCTTCTTACTGCAAAAAAAACAACTCCTGACAATGTTACCCGCTATGCTCAGAGAATGCAGTGACCACTACTGAAGGGAAAATTGTTTTCCCACTTAACAGGAAACCTCAGAGTGTGAAACACAGGGTTCTAAGTAGTAAACATCTCTCACTATAGCAATGTTTACTCCACGACGAGGATGAAGTACAACTCATCCAGATCAACAAAAACTCTTCCATTATCTCTACTTCTTAAAAAGTCTACCAAAAAAAAAAAACCCAAAAAACACCACAAACAAACAAAATTAAAAGATCAAGTTGACAATACACCAGCTGCTCTATGACAGCAGCTGAAATACATGTGGTGGTAGTCATTCAAATCAACCTCTTGAAATGCTTCACGCACCAGAGCAAGATATCCTCCCCCAAACCCATCTGTTAGTTACTGAGCACCCACCATTTCCCTTGTAATTGTGTCCCCAGTGACACCAACCTCTCTGCAATGTCTGAGATCTGCTGATGTTGCTCTGCAGAGAACTGAGTGGAGCTCTGGCAATCAGGATCTATAGATATCCTTTGGTGTGGTGATGAGAAATAGCATCTGTCTCTAGGCCCTTCACTTGTAGAAAACCCCCAAGCATCATTCCTCTCCTCTGTTCAGGAACCACATGCAGCAGCCTGTGGAGTTAAATGTGAGCTTCTCACGTTTCTCAGTATGTGAGAAACTATCCTTCACCAATTATGGTAAGCACCACAACCAAAATGGGCCAATGTGTGGATAAGGTTAGATCTCAACCGAAAAATAAGTGTCTGACACCAACCCAGAACTTCGATAAGGATGGCAGCAGTGGGAAAGCACCTGGAAGCTCCTACCTGTGCTGCCCTCTCCTTTTATAAAGGTCACATAACTAATGCACACTGTACAAGTGACCCTGTATTTCTCACTTGATGCTAACCTTTGTCCACCAAAAAGTGCTTAACAGCCAGAACAGTTTCAAGTCTCAATGCAGAATTCCAAAGACACGGCTGCAGTACTTCTCACCCAAAGCATGCCTCCTCATATCTTCCTGCTAGCTTCCTATGGCACTTTGAATATAAAGGCACTTGGCGGCCTGAGCCCAGAAAGTCAAAATAAAACGCCGACAACTCTGAGATAAAGACAATTTCTGGCAATTCAGCTCCAGAGACACCACAAAAGTTTCTACCATTACAGTAAAATACATCTGTGCCAGAATGAACTGAGTAGATTACAGACCATAATAAACTCCACCTTCTTCCATTTTCTGTGACATTTTTCTTAGACCTGCATCCTTCACATACCCACAAAGCAACACAAATCATTGTAAAGCAAATGTCCTAACAAAACATCTCCCACAACAACCTCCAGGGCAGTCAGAAGTAGGGAAAGGAAGAGAAAAATCAAGCATTTAATGGAAAAAAACCACCTCATATTGCTCAAATCTCTTGAAGCAGGATGTAAGAGTTTAGCTGCAAGTGCCCAATACTTAGGAAACCAGGCACCAAACTGTTCCTAGTAGATATCCCACAGAAGCCATGGTTTCAGGTTAGGCGTTGATCCAGAGAACTACAGGACTTTGAAATATCAAACATGATGAGCACCACTTCCTTGTTCAGTAAACCATTTTCTTTTCTTGTTGCCCAGCATTTTGTTGCACTACTGGGCATGAAAACACACATTAAGATGCTCTAACATCCTGGTTACAGCACAAAACCAGCAAATCCCAATCAATACACTTCTCATCAGCAAAACGTCCCAAGGAAAGCTAAACTCCTACCCTCTACTGCTCAGGCATGAAATTACTGACCTAAAACCTCTAGCTCACCTTTTTATCTCACAGCCAACATTTCACTAGCCTATGGCAACCCAATAGCCTCAGTGTACAAGCCACGACGGTGATTTATTTCAAGAATCGTTTCCCAACCATACAATCTTTCTTGGGCTTCTGATCAACATTAACAGAGGACTCAGAGGAGTCAGCAGGATAGGCCAAAAAATGTACTATGACAGACACTTAATGATGATGATAATGGGGCCTCTTGAACAGAGTGGAGAATCCCAGCATCTGGGCTTCTATTCCAGCCAAGGGACTGGCAGATACAACATACAATTGCTTCAATGCAACTATTCTATTTGAAGCTGATGAGTAGAACACCCCCTTGGAGCCAGCTGACTTGCAGGAACAACGTTATCAGATGGCCAAAGGAGATACTTTCTCTAGATCTCCCTCTTTGCAAGAGATCAGCTGGACCACAAAAAGAAAATCTACCAATAAAAGACAACAGGCATATCTTACACAGTCAATGTCAAGCAATTTCCCCCCCATCAAGTTTATAAATGAGTACAAATTTTAGTCTCTTCCCCTTAATATACTTCTTTTTAAAATTTTAACTTGTACAGAGTGCAACATAGCATAACCATCCCATATGCCCACTACTGGTCACCTGCACACACTCAAGCTCACAGTACCTCTGCCCATGTAAACCTCACAGAAGAAGGAGTCACCACCAGCAAGGGCCATTCCTTTCGGTAATACGCAGCAATGCAGATTGCCTGGAGAGTCTTGCCCAAGCCCATGTCATCTGCCAGAAGTAAACGTCCATTTCTTGAAATTGCGAAGCTGGGGAAAACAGAAAATAAGTAAGAGTCAAGAAATGGCTTACTATCTGTCCTGGCAGCCAAGATGAGCACAACTCATCACCAAGCCTATAATGTGCATCACCTGGAAGTGATCTTGCTTCTTCAGTAACCCTGGATCTTCTCCCTTAGTCTTAACACAAACAAGCAACTCCCACATATCTCTCAAAGCTTGGAAGGTCCTGAACAGAGTGGTTCAAGCCCAGTCCTTAGAGACTTTGATTTCATATGAGCAGCAGTCTCAAGACCTTACGATTATTTAAACCACGCTTTTTCCATGATATCACTCACATTATGTCCCCGAGTTCATCCTACCTAAGAAAATATTGCTAATAACAACGCCACTTCAACATCGGTAAGTACAGGCTTTCCTGGATTGCATCTTGAAGTCTCCAACTAATGACCCTACATGATGGGGACAGATAAAAGTTTATCTCTACATAGTCATTTAGTCATTTTAAATCTGTCAGGGCCTGGGTCCCATTTCCTGGCACTTTTCCATGTGTAGTTAATGTTTAAAAAACATCAACAAAAGAGGTGCACTTGGGAAAAAAAAAATGACCTTACAAAATAAAAAATCATATGACAATTAGGCACATACTGAATCACAAGATGGAGATCAGAGATGTATCATTTGAACATTTTATGAGACTAGCAAAATGCTACTTTCCTCCTGACTCATGATGAAGAATTCTAGCTAGAAACAGAACAGATGTGTCACTCAAAAAAAAAACCACAAAAAAAACAAACCCCAACAACAAAACAAACCATACCATAGCAAACAACCAAAAGCCCAATGTGCCAGACTGTAACCGCCCAAGACTCTGGGGAAATGTGGAGACCACCATGGAAGTGAATGCAGCCTGGGCACCAATATAAAGTACATAATTCTAGGCAAGGACTTAACAGCATGCAAAAAGGACATACTTCACACCTTCCCGCTGAAAGGGCATGAGGCTTGTCACAATTTCAGAGTCCACTACTGAAAGGTCAGCGTCAGGAATATCTGTCTCTGATGTAGATCTCTGTATTTGAGCAGCAAAGGTTTTTATTACTGCCTCGGGCAGTGGCTCCACTTCTACCGACACAAGGCTCTGTAACACTTCCACTGCAAAGAACAGAGCAGTTTATTATCAGAAGGGGCAACATACACACAATTTACATTATAGATATCAGGCCTCATCAACAATATTATTTCCTATCCTGAAACAACTCAAGAAAGCACTGCATCATGCACAGGTGTTGCCCTGGCCTCCTCCCTGAAGTCTATTTCAGAACCACATGATGAATCACATCTCCTCCCCTCGTATTTAGACTTGGTTATAAAAAACTGAAAGTCTGATGCCATCATTCAGAGATGATTGCTACTAATACAGCTGGAGCTGGATTATTCACACTGAGGGCAGCTTAGGGCACACTTTACTCAGAAATAAAAGTATGGATTTAAACAAAAGAGATCCTGAAGCCTAGAAGGCAGGGGCATCTTTATCTTGACCTTGGGATTCTGCATTAAACACCTCTGATGTCTCCACCATCCCCGAGTCATCCGGAGTGACCTGAGACACAGTTACCTAAAGAAGACGATGCATCTTCAGCTTTGAAAACTGTCTTCTCCTCCTGTTCCCCAAATTCACATAGGTTTGGCTCTGTCTCCCCTTTATCACCCCTCATTTACCATGTTTGGATAAGAATGCAGGAAGCACCTCGAGACTCAGAGAAACGGCTCTTTTACAACCAACAGCAGCACTCTGATAGCCATCCTTCAGGGACATGGTACTGTAAACAGCAACTCCCTGCTCAGCTGGTGTCCACTGCTATTCTCCTGGACAGAAGCAGCGTGTGGACCAGAACAAGCCTGCAGGCAGCCACTTGAGTCGCTCACCACCACTGCTGTTTCTCCCAAGAAACCTCTCAACTTCATCTGCCACATAAAACCCTCACAGTCAAACAAAGGGGATCCCCAGTCCCCATTATACATTGGGGCCTTCATCTTTTCAACCCATGGATCACAACAAGCAACACATCAGGGCAACTCTTCTCCCGGACAACCTTATTTCAGCCCCCTCCAGTAGCGCCTCTATCTCATCGCAAAAAGATAACAGTATTTCTTTTTCGACAAACAGCAAGTTTCTATGAAAACAAATACCAGTGAAAAACATGCAGTGAGCTGGGACCAGGAAAAGATCTTTAGCAATCCATCTTTGACCACTGACTGAGAAACAAAAGACACCTCTACACTAGGAACACAAACGCATGGGCACAGATCCTTTATTGCAGGAAGCATTTGTTGTTTTTTTTCATTTAGTAGTCAGTTTGTATATGAAGTCAGAAAGACATAAAACAACTCTGTTTTCAACAATAACCAGAGCTATGCAAACTGAAATAAGAACTCACTATACCAGCAGTAGATGCACCTCCAGAATTTAGTTAGGTATTTTCATTTCAGTTATTTCCAAGAGGAAAGCAGCAGGATGGACCCCTGCCACATGAAGGGGGAAAGCAATTCCAAGAAATATACATATGAAAAGACTTCCATTTGTGGTTGGGCAATGACCAAACTTTTTAAACTCTCCAGTTTAATTTATACTTCTTCAATAGCAGGAACCCTCTCCACCCAAAGTACAGCACAAGCTTGTTATTATACTCACAGACTGAGCTACGTGTTAGCATAATTGCTACAATTTGCTCACTGATAATTCTGTTGCTATTGTTCTGTACATGAGCTGGGAGAGTGATTAAGACATATCTGCCACCAGCATGATTCATCCAACAGACATTTTTTACTGAAGTGACCTTTCTATAAAGATGACTGAGCAACTAAGCAAAGAGACATTAACCTCTACAAACAGTTTCCAGCTAACAGATATCTCTGCTGGAAATGGCAACCAGCCTTTTAAAATTTACTTTTTTTTTTTTTTGACGTAGGTAAATGCACAGGCACAAAACAAATGCTGTTTCTCAAAAAGGCACGTGCTAGAAGCCTCAAATGCCCTCACCAATTACACCCTGCAAGAACATATACGGAGAGATGTTTTTTGCTTTCCTTAAATCTGTGTGATTCTGAGTACTTCATGTGGTGTACACAACAGCCAGCTAGCATGGCCGAGAGAGCAACACACTGGGAGATGATGTGTTTGCTCGGACTGCCTAGGATGTGCACAGGATCAGGCCCTTTGCATGCACAAAAGGCCCTCATAGCAAACAGAGAGATCAGCAGCTCTCATTCAAATCAGGGCCTGTCAACGTTGCAGTCCTGGGGTTTCCTGTCTCCCTCAAGACACACTCACTTGTTTTCATGACCTGGCATTCCTACGAGGCTCCACAACCTGGCTTTCAGCCCTACAACCATTACTAATGCTATTAAGACATGCATCATAGGAGCATGTAGATACTCAATTATTAAACGTGCTTTGGTATTCCATGGAAGCAGGAGCCCATGCTGGAGAAAAAATACTCTGAGCAACAGCATTTCAGCTCCGAAACACCCAGTCACACTTTCTAAGGAGGTGTGTATGCTCTATGTGTAGAGCACCTCGCTTATTATCTTTCTGAAGCTTATCCCAATCAAGTTCCACAGCCACATACCCTCACACGAGTACCAAGGCAAACACAGCAGGCCAACTGGGATGATAAATAATAATTTAATACCTGGGACTTGGTAATGCAAACCTCAAAGCACTTCATAGATTTAACTAAACATAAAAAACTCAGAAGCAGATATGCTGCTGTGCCTGGATTATTCTGCAAAATGTAGGTTGTTTTTTTTTTTTAAAAAAAAAGAAGAAAACAATCTACACTTCTACAATTCAGTTCAGTGAGTAACAGTTTCACCAGCATTACACAGATGTATTGCAAAGGAGTCTAGTGGTCAATTTCTACAAGGAAATTAACATTGTAGTGACGCTCCTTGCTTAGATTCCACTTCCAAGTGAAAATACGATGCCTTCCTAAAAATACTTTTTTTGCTAAGCTTTCTTTTAAGCATCTATCAGCCAGCACCAAAGCATTTTAGTAGAGTATGAAATTCTGCTTCAAGAATGCTTCTGCTTCAAGCAGATCCACGCACTTCTGCAAGAGAAACAGCACTCCTTGTTTGCTCAAAATCAACTCAGCTATGGAAGCAACCTGAATTCTAACCTGCCTCATACATCAATCAAAAACCCAACACTTCCGTGCTGCCTGTAAAGCCATTATTACCAGCAGTAACATGTGAGGCTGAACAGTCAGACAGTCACCAGCCAGACTCTAACTGTCGATGAACTGGTTGTTACAGAAATCATCAGTTGACTTGAAAACCTAGTGCTCTGACCTGAAAAACAAAATTTGCTAGGTGTGAAGTGAAATAGTACAACACTGTGCACACTACTTAAATCTTGTAGTAAACTAAAAGGTAGAAAAGGAAGTAAAACAGCCCGATAAGTGTTTGTTTTCTAAGCAAGGAGTGGCTGTGCCAGTTTATGAATTGATATACACACAAAAGGGAGCAAGGCAGGATGGCACCGAGGACAAGGGGAGCACAGCTAAAAACAGTCAGTAAGACAGAATTTCTGCAAGGACAGGAAGATATGCCAGCCATCATGACAATCTTTTCAAATTTAGCTAAGTTCAAGCAGAGCTGCTGCACCTTATAACCAATAAAAATAACTGTGATAGTAAACACATGCATGTGCTATAACAAACTGCACAGAAATTCAATGCAGAATCTGACAAAACAGAGCTACCACCTCAAGAGCCCCTAAAGGACTGGCATGAATAACACTTTAAAAGTTTTGAGTCTGGGCAAACAGTGTAAGTGTCTGACAAAACAGGAAGACACCTGCTTCACAGTTCGTTAGCAACTTAATTCCCCAGAGTCAAATGGCCGTCCCAAGAAATTAAGTTAGAATTCATTTGGCTCCGCAGAAAACAGCTCTAGCAAGGAAAATACAGCTACTCACTCAGTTTGGGATAGTCCTCCAGCAAGAAATTCCACTTTCTGGTGTTCATATCTGCAACAGGTACAACACTGTCATAAGTCTCTTTTAAAAAAGCCTGAATCCTTTGTCCAAAAGAACATGGCTATCCATCCATACCCTAAAAGAATTCTTATCTTGCCCAGCAATCAATTCTCCTCTGGTCGCCTTCATGTTAAGCAAACACTTTGAAGAAAACTTAAAAGTATGAGCGCACATCTAGAAGTGGTGGCATCACTGGAGTAAGCCAAGGTCAGCTCGCCTCTTGAACCATCATAAAGAATCCATAAAGGATTTTGGCAACTACTTTATTTTTTGCTGCAAGAAGAATGAAGAATGTGCATGGAGGTTCCTCTTTGTTAACCAATAAACTCTGACGTCAGATAGTAACATAATCACTTTCAGTTGTACCTCTGTACCCTACAGATGATGGATGATGTGTTCAGGATGGTACAGAGGAAATTCCCCAATTTATCAATACCCAAAATGTAACATGAATGTCAGACTTGTCAGGTTTATCCCTGGGTGGCACTTGCCTACAACTCCTAGGGAAGGCACAGTGAATTCAGAGACAGCTGAAGACATGAGTCATGTGGGGCCTTGTCCAAAGAACAAGAGCTCCAGGATTTGTTCCTCATGCTGTCACTGACCTGCTGCAACACTGTGCAGGTCACCTCATCACTCCGTGCCTCATTACAGGTGGAAACGGTGATATTCAGCATTGAAATCTGAATGCCAACATAAAAACTGCTCTACAGTTCCCCTTGCCTCAAAATCATCAGTAAAGTTGCTGGTAAACTCAATCTGCTCAGGCACTTGCAGCCATTATACACCACAGTAAAGCAGGAGAAATAGGAGAATGTCCAACTGCAGTTGGTAATAAAGACAAGAACTTATGCATGGCCTCCGTACTGCTGGAAAATTATCAGAGCATCCCACCTCAACAGTAAATGGAATCATGCCAAATCCTGAAACATGCCCTTGGCTAACAGGCCCTGAAGACCCAGGACATGTTCTGGCATGGAGTAAAGTGCAGGACACAGAAAGAGCACTATAGGAGAACTGCAGGAGCTCTCAAAATCTGCACCAAAGCACATCCTCTTGTGCTATTTCAGAAGGATGCATTCTCACAATCTCTCTCCTCCAAAGCATTCACAGCACTCCAGGAGCCGCCCCAACAACACTATTAGGATAAAGCAGAAACAACCAGAGACTCACCATAATTTCTGGAATCCATCCGTTTGAACACTCCAATCACTTCTGCAGAATACCCAATATCAACCTCAAACCGCAAGCGGGAGATCAGCACGCACTTCCCTTTGACAAGGGCTGAGGGTTTCTTCCAGTTCTTACAAAGCTTCAAGAGGGATTTCTCATCAGCACTACTGCCAACGAAATGAGAGTCTGATGCCAAGCCAACAGCATTTTCTCCTTCCAGTGGTGCCAGAATTACTGACCGAAGTTTATTTGCTGCTTCCACTAGGGAGAAAAGCATGAGATACTGAGAAAAGAATTAATAACAAAAAACACGGATAAACTAAAGATGCACAGGATGCCTTGGGAAGAGCAGGGACAAGAGGATGACAAACCAACCATACACCTTCAAGTTTAAAAGGAACAACGATTCCCTGTTTTCACTCACAGGGACAAAGAACAGAGTGATGTCCTGGAGGAACAGGTTGGTGGGAGTTTCCACAGAAGGGCAGAGGGAAGATATGACAGCAGGTGCACAAGGGCCTGGCAAGCACTGTCACCACATTAGGTTCCCCCTCTGTCAGCAACCCCAAAACACGGCTCACTAGGCCAGGGCAGACAATCTGCAGGACCACACTCAGCAGGTAAATTGCACACAGTCATAAAGTGTTTTCACTTACGAAGTTGCAGGGACAAGCGCAGGGCGATCAATACTATGTGCCTGAAAAGATGGGAAGGTACTTCTGCAAACAGCAAAGGAGAAGGATCTAAAAATACCTGCCTCCTGCCTCATGTCAATGTCTGATATGCAATCTCATATAGAAGGAATGCTGTATATTCACAATACTGTAGGAAGGATACCAGGAAGGAATCTAGTCCAACTCCCTAAATCCCATTTGTTACAATTTCAGTCCATCACGCTTTATTCTACCTCTTTCAGTTAGACTTATCCTTTTCCCAAGCCACCTGCACTCCTCTCACTAATCACTACCAACCACCTCTCTCATGATGCCAGGGCACGGGGCGAAAAGGGACACAGCATTTTACAGCTGTTAGCCCAAGACCACAGCTATTCACCCTAATAATCATTCCACTTTTCCCTCTGTGTCTCTGCCAATCTACACCTTTATGTTGTCTTTATTGTTATAGCTGAACTAAGTGATAGTTAAGGAACAAGAACCATTTTATCTTGCATTTTTACAGCACCAAAATAATGAATTTTATCCCCAAGACTCCAACTTACAGGTACTACAGCAACACGAGACTCATTAGTATCTCCAGAGTCTGTTGGACTCAAGAGCAGGGGAACACTAACCATATTGTGCCTCCATGTATTTGTAAAGAGAAGCAACCTCCCCAATCCAGCACCTGTTTAGAGTAAACCCAGGTGAATCTAGTCCTTTGAAGGTTAAAAAGAAGCAGGGTGGGTGCAGTTTAAATAGTTCATCTTACTGATATGCAACAACTTAAAGAAACTTACGTTAAGATTTGGAAAGGAAAAAAAAGGGAGAAAGAAACAAATTCAGACACTTTTTTCCTAAGCAGTTTGTAAGCCATTTGGATATCATCCAGCTTTATTTTTAAAAAGTGACTTCCGGAATAAACCCAAGCTTTTGAGATCTCTCTTCCAAAGAAAAAGTTTAAGACAGTCAAGTGAAATTAATTTTTAAAGCTGAGGACTAGGAAACCACCAGTTTAGATGTTCTCCTCCCAATGCACCAAGCAAAAGAGTTTAGATACTACTGTTTTAGCATTACATAGTTAGAGCTCATCTCTACAACTAACACTGAAAGAAATTGAAAAAAAAAACCACAACAAAACCACCTCATATTTTACTCTTTTGCTTCAATATTTGTTTATGGGCTTGACTGCGCATTTAATTTATAATACAAAGGAAGAAATGTAATACGGGACAACATTATTCAGACGAACAAAATTAACAGTGGGAAGTTGGAAAATAATTGTTTTTACACTTACAAGACTTCAAATCGAGGCCCTTTTAAATCAATTCCCTTTTCTAAGGGTATTTTTTCCCCTGCTATCATTATCCAACATTGATCCCATATTGTCTTCTCACATCAAGAGAAACTTTCCACAGAGAACTCGTATTTTCAATAGCTTTAAGGAAAAAAAGGCTGATTTCTAAAAACCATGCTCTTCATTTGCAAGCTTCTTGGTGCACAGACTCTGCTCTCATCTGTACTTCATACACTTCAAGCAAACCAGTAGCATTTAAATTATAAATGTGTGGCAACCCACATGGGAAGCTAAAATACCAGCACTCAACTGTGGGTTTTTCAAAGTGCTCAACACAGGCCTAATTCTGTTCCCACTGAAATCAATAGTGATTTATCACTTGCTTCAACACAATGTGCTTTTGAAAAGCCTACCTGAAGCATTTGCCTCTATCAACTCTCAATCTTTCCAGAATAAAATGACAGGATTAAAAAAAAAAAAAAAAGATAAAAACCATCCTCGTTATGCCAAAAAAAGGCAACTTCATTTTCAGTCTCAGTCAAAGCTCTACAGAATTAACATTTTTCCTTTTCTGACACCTGAAATTAACAGGAAAAAATGTAAACAAAAAAACCCAAACCAACAACAAACAAAAAAAGCTGTTTAAAAACAGCATAAATGAACAGACCTAGAAATTAAGCATTAGCCAGTGGAACACACTCAGTTCTCAATACAGACTTGTATGAAGCACTCGCACAGAAGATTCTTTCCTATGATCAGGCTTGTTGGTTACTCAGACTCAGCAATGGCAGAAAAAGTTAAACTCATGGTTGGCATTTAGATTACATGAAAAATCAAGTTATTTCTAATCAACTACAAAGTGTCAGAAAAATGTTATGAGCTAGATGCCACTTGAGTAGCACTACTTTAATTATTCCAAACAATAACAAAGCTAGACAATAATTATGGAAGGCAGGGGAATCCGGTTCAAGACTTTGATCCTTTCTTACCATTCAACAAACCATTTACTTACTTAAACTGCTGTAATCTTCCAGGCTGAAATTCCATTTTTTCATAGCAGGATCTAAAGTAGGGCAGAATATGAATCATTTGGTGTAGAAATGTTGTTGTGAAACGTTCATGCAAGATAACATAGAATTCATTCTACTCATGCAAATTTTTTGACACACATCTGAGAAACACTATGTTCATGGTTTACAGCTACATGACACCAGAAAAGCCACAGGGCATATCAATACTAAGACAAGGAGAATGCAGCAGCCATTCACAAGGAGCAGCAACACATGGGGGGAAAAATAAAGTAGAATATAACAAATAAAGGACAGGTAGAAAAGATGAGAAGCAAGCCAAAAGGTGGAGATTCCACAGCGGTCAGTAATCCAGTTTACAGAATCAACTCACCAACTCAACTACAGCTGAAGTGACCCATTTTCCCATACCAATTTATGAATAACTTCTCTTCCTTCACTCCCAAAAAATTCTGACCAGCTGCCATCACTAAACTTCTTAGAACACTGTTCATAAAGCATTTCTTGGCTAAACCCAAGCTCAAGCTATTTCCGCCCAGAATTTCTTTCCAATTTCATCTGTCTTTACGTTTCCAATCCCCCATTAATACCACATATTCCATCCCAGCCATAGCTGTCCTGCTAAGACCATATAGCAACTACAGTTCCAGCAGAGGCTGAAACTTAGATCTAACATAAAAGAGATAAGCAAACAATCAGTTCTTACCATAGCTTTTACTTGGCATCTTCTTAAATATAGCAATAAGCTCAGCATTATACCCTATTTCAACCTGGAACCGGTCTTCCCCGTATTTCACGCATTTTCCTTGTGTAACATTATTTGCTTTCTTGCAAGAGGCAGATTCAAATGTAGAGCCTGCACCAGCACAGCTGGTCAGCTTCTGCATCCCACCACCTCCCCCCTCTCTTTCCATTGGTCTGCTTGTGTTTATCAGCATTTCTGAATCACCCAGGGTAGCGCTGCTTGATGGTGGAACATATTTTATGGAAGATTTGTTCTGACTTTGTAAATTTTTAGTACCGTCAGGGTGCCCATTACCAATTAATCTAGGATGAGATGGTTCTGTAGGGTTTTTGAAAGCTGGGTAGCATTTGGGCTGCTGGAATGTACCAAGATTAATTAAAGCTTGTTGTCCATGTTCCTGACCACCAGCATCCGAGTAATGTCTATGGGAATAACTCAGAGAATTTGGGATCGTTGTAGGGAACTGCTTAATGCCACTCGCTTGTTCCGAGTCCACTGAACAATTCTTTTGTTGCTCTCCATGTGAACCAGCCATCTGTTGGTTTGCAGTGTAATGACTATAATCTTTCTGAAGATAGCTCTTTTGCTCCGCAGGACTGTTTGGATTCTGTCGGTGCTGGCTAATGAACCTGACATGATTGTTTTCTTGTTTCAAGTTTCCCCGATTGCCTGGATTCTGTTCTTTCACCTGAGGTCCAGTGATCCCCACCTGCCCACCTCTCTGGGCTGCTAGCCTCTCTGCTCTCCTAGCCAAAGCCTTCTGGCGGTTCTCTTCAATTCTTCTCTTTTGTTCCTCTGTAAGGCTTGATGCCATCTTCGACAATTCAAACAACAAATCTGAATCAAAACCGCATTGGGAATTAATCAGAGAGGCACCTGCTTCTTTACAGTGATGAAGGCTGATCTACAAAAAAAAAGGCAAGAGACAGGAAGTTTCAACTCTGTTCCCCCCTAAAATGGCTATTGTATTGATAATTCAATGTAATTGGTGACTGAGTATTACTGTTAACTGATGCTACACAAAACCCTACTAGTACAGCAAAGCTGTCAGACCAATGCTGAGCCATTATCAGCAAGCAGATACTGACAACCACTCCTGGGGCTTTGCATGCCAGGCTTACATAGATAAAACATACAGAAAAAGGTGAAAACCCCCATTCCACTACAGTTCTGAGCACTCTCCTCTGCAAAACCCAGCAGAACTGCTACAATAGCCAAGCCCTGCACTGCAGAGCCAGCCCTGTAAAGGCAAACACAGGTAAAGCAATACAGTCACGTGTGGAAGCGTTTCACAACTGTGGTACCTAAAGAGCAAAGATGGGACAACGCTCCCTCTTTTCTGGACACCTTCCAGTTGCTGGGCATCTCACAGCGTGTAGCAGATACATACTCAACCCCAAAGGGCTGAGTCCTCTCCTGCCTTCAGAAGGGTCCACTCACAGGTCAAGGATCTTCTGACGGCAGTGAGGACCCGGCTCCTGCTGCATCTCCCAGGAGCTGGCCTCCATCTCCTCCAGCAGTCAGAGACCAGCGCTCAGAGACCAACTTTCCTCACCACCCTGTAAGAGGCGAGGCTCACTCCCTGCCCCGCTCCTCTCCCAGGCACCACACTCCCCTGTCCCAAACTCCACCGAGAGCCCGGCCCCCACCCCACAGGCTGGGGGCCCCCGCCATCCTCAGGGACCACCCGCCACCCCACAGGGGCCCAGGCTGCGGTCCCTCCTCGCCTCCCGGGGGCTCCGCTGCAACCCACCCGGGGCTCAGCCCCGGCCCAGCCGCCGTCCCCCCGCCACAGGCCCGCACACCCACCTGCGGGCAGAGGCCCAGTGCGCCACCGATGGTCGCGCAGCGGCGCAGACTACAACTCCCAGCAGACCCCGCGCTACGGCCCAGAGGCACAAAGCGGCCGGGACGCGCAGCATGCCGGGAAATAAATGCCGGCGCGCGGGGCGCTCGGCGCTCTGGGAAGTGTAGTCTTCCGGTCACGGCGCCATCTTAGGGGCGTAGAGCACTGCGCGGTTTCGCTGTGGGAAGCGGCGGGCTGGAGGCCGCCCTCGCAAGGGTTTGGCTCAGGCCCACATGCGGGGTGCGGGCTCACGGCTTTGCCACAGGCAGTGCCCAGTGCTGGGGCAGGGCTCCCTCACCGGCAGCGTCTGGTGTGTGAGGCTTGGCACACCAAGGTGTGTCACTTATTTAAAATAAGTGTCTATGAGTCGGGAATAAAAAATGGAGGCAATGCATGAGAAAGGATGAAAACGCTGCTGTCAGCAGTGAGGAGGGAATCCACCCCAGGGCATCAAGAGCAGTGACATTAGTGCAAGGTCTGTAGTCTTTGAAAAGTGGAGATGAGGGGCTGAACCCTGGTGACGGGAAGAGGGTAGATGTCAAAGCTGTCTACGAGAAGGGCTTCAAAGAAGACCCAAGAAACTACAGGCCCATTAATCTTACTCCAGGCCCTGGGAAGCAGTAGAATGAGTCCTCCTAGGAACTGTCACAAACCAAATGAATCAGGTGATCCAGAAAAGCCAGCACCAAAGGCAAATCATGCCAGACTAACCTGATTGCCCTCTACAACAATATAACATTTTCTGTCTCTTGTTTACCTGGACTTCAGCAAAGCATTGGACACTTGTTTCTCACACCCTCCCGCTGGACAAACTGGGCAGACACAGACTGGAGGGGTGGTCTGTGAGGCACGTGGGGAATCGGCTCACAGGCACTTGCAGAAGGTAGTGATCAGTGGGTTTTCCTCAGCCTGGCAGCCTGTCACAAGTGGGGTCCCTCAGGGATCAATGCTGGGCCCCATGCTGTTCAACAAGTTGCACTTGATGGAAGAAAGAATATTTTTACGTTGAGAACAAATAATTGATGGAACAACCTCTCCACGGACATGGTGTGGTCCTTATCACTGGGGTTTTTTAAGACGCGAATGGACAAAGTGTTAGATAATCTCATCTAGGCTCCGTTTCCCACAAAGGGTTGCACCAGATGATCTTTCGAGGTCCCTTGCAACCTGGACTGTTCTATGATCCTGTGAACACCTTCATAATAAAGAAATTACTCATATTTGCATCTAAGTTCTGAATAAAAGGGTCTCCCAGGGTTTTAATTATACATAGAGCTTGATTTATACATACCAAGTTGCTCTTCCTGGACAGTTGTGATCCCCATGAGCATGACCAGAGTGATAATATCTGAGCAGAAAGCAGAGAAAAGGCCCTGGGGAGCACCATAACCCCCTCCCATCTCTGACTTCCACTACCCTGCCCAGTGGCAGGTCTGGAGCCACCTTCCCTGTCCCCAGATGCCATTTTCTCCCACCTGACAGACCCTTTGGCTGGGGATACCAAAGCCAGCTGGCTGTTTCACAGTTTATTCATTCTTCTCTCTGCTGGTTAATTAGAAAAGGTTATCCTTAAATTGCTTCCTGATTAAGCAGCAGTGACTGCCATTAGTCAGGAGCTCGTCAGCCCGAGAAAAACAAGGCAGGCAGCAAGAGCGAGGTGCGACTTGACACACAGCACAACCCTGGGAGTGCTGTTACTCGCCTGGGAATTGCACACGCACAGACCTGGGCACGCCACGTGCCCGCAGGGGCTCGCAAACACGCCGCTTTTAAAGAAAACCACAGGCCTGAGGAGGGGTCCAGGTCCAAGGTTTTGTCCCAGCTTCTCTTAAGAAAAAGAGTAAAAGCCAAACCTTTTTTTCCAGCTTCCAGGCGCCCCCACTTCAGAGTGGTTTTGGTAGGAAAGGTGGCTCAGCCCTGTGGTCTCCTCTGCCATTGCCCTTTCTTCCTCTGCAAGCCAGCAGCATCCAGCTGGCTACACAGCAGAGAGAGAAAGGAATGGATGAGGGACCTTTTTTTTCCTCCTTCTTGCCACACTTTTAACTGCCTAAAGCCAAACCAGATCCCAGTGTCCCATATGGAAGAGAGAGAGCGAAAACACTCAGAGCATAACCCTGCAACTGCTTCCAGCCACCTTCTCCCCATGACAGCAGCAGGTCTCCAGTTCCAGGTCTCTGGTGATGGCTCCCTATGCTTTGGGAGATCTGGGGAGGGGGGGGAGAGGAAGACAAACTTGGAAAAAGTGGAGAAAAGCCCCTATCGGGGACAGTCCCCAGCTCATGAAAAGGATGACAGTGGAGTGTTGTTTGCAGAGAGCTCTTGGGTTGCGCGGTCAGGCAGACACACAGACAGACGTTGAAGCATTTGCTCCATATGGCACAACTTCAGCAAGGCACGAGGAACAGCCCAGCCATGCAGAGAACAGACCTACAAAATGAGAGGCCGTTTGCGAGCAGTTTGCTGGTAGCACTCCAGGTGTCCTTTCAGTCGGAACATGCTTCCAGCAGTGGCTTGGACTCACTCTCCACATACTGGGTCAGGGAACAAAGATGCAGTACAGAAATAATGGGAGGACTTGGGAGGGGGGGTTAGCACACCCCAGCTTCCCAAGGAGGAAATGGTTCACCCAGTTCCAAAGACATGGTCCCATCGGTGGAAAAACATAAGGAAATGGGGTTCTCAGCGCTGTTCTTATGAGGATCTTTCCATCACTTGGATTGTGCTCTAAACATCCTGTCATGGGCTGGCCTGGTCCTGACTGCTGGCTCCCAAATGAGGACAGGACTGCCTGGCCACGCATCGTACATCTTATATAAGCAGCAGCTAATATCTGAAATGCAAGCAACCAACCCAAGACCCCAGAGCTGTTCTGGATTCTCTCGGCTTCTCCTCTGAGCTGCTCTTACAAGGTCCTGCTGCTGTCATGCTGAATGTATACACCTCACTCTGCCACCTTGCCAGCACACCTTTTTTGGTTCTCCACATGGACAGAGCTGGCCCTGGCTGCCTTCATCCTGGGTGTGTGGCCAGCCTGAACTCTCTGCTGGGGCTGAACTGCATGCAGAGCTACTGTGTGTAGCGAGGCCATCCAGCAGACAAGTGGAAATCAGCCCAGGCTAACAGCTCTCAGATGCCCCAGCTTCTTGGAGGGGTTTGGTAGCCCACTCCGAGATCAGAGACACCATTACCAGTGCCCAAACGTGCCAGTCTTTGACCAGCTATGGAGAACCTGCAGTTGCACCTTCTAAAATAAATTAATTCCACGCTCATGAGCCTTATCAGTTCCTTCTCAGCTAAAACCAGTCAAGTGGCTGGATTGGGGACATGCAGGTTGGCTCTTCAGGGACAGTCTTGGGGCAGGAGAGTCAGAGAAAGCCCCCTGGACTGGCAGAGCCTCTTCTAGTTAAGGAAACCCTTTTGTGTGGGCTGCTCTGGTCTCGTCTGAATACTTTGTAGAGGACCTGTCCTCTCTGGGACGCAGTGTTGTGCTTCCTCTGCTTTGGTTTGGGGTCCTGAGTGGGGTATAAGCTCCCTAACAGGGAACCAGAGCCATAGGCTCAGAAGGGCCAGGGTGTGCTTGGGTTTGGAACTGGACCTTGTCACAGTAGCTGACCCTGCATCCCCCCTTGTACCTGTTCTCCCCAAATTTCTTTTGTTAGAGAGCTGTTAATCCCCTCTGTTTTCCCTGTGCCATCAGGGCACATCGGGGACCGTAGCCTGCTGGCCCGTTTGACAGCCCAGCTACTACCACAGACTGGCTCTGCATCAGGCCCTTTCCCCGAACACCTTAAAACACCAAAGACAAAATTTGGAGTTTGCTGAATCCAGCTGCCCTTGAAACCCTGATGAAAGAGGACCCGCAGAGGCTTTTCTGTGAGCTTTTCTAGCATGAGAAGGTTGCTCCCCTCCTCTGACCGCCAGCTCAGTGAAGACCACTTCTTTTTCCCTGCTCTTTGGCCACCCGGTGCAAGGAAAATTAGTCACCCTCCATTCTTTTGAAGCAGCCTCTCTTATCTACACAGCTTGTTCTTCCCTGGCACGCTGAAGCCTTCCTGCTCTTGTTTATAGTACAACCCCTCCAACAGATTGCAGGGTCTCTTTTCTGCCTTCTGTCCTTCTTGGCTGGGTTCCCCTCCACAGCTCCAGTCCAGAGCAATGGTCTGCACAGCACATGGCCTCCCCGTCGCTGCCAGGCTGCTGCCAGGCTCACGGGGCTGCTGCAAGGCTGAGCCCACTCTTGATCTTTTATGCGATGCAGCCCAGGTGTGGGGGGCAGTTCATTGGCACCCAGAACAAAGATTTAAAAGAGAGGAAAAAAAAAAAAAAAAAAAACAACACAACAGTTTGCCTACATTGAGAGGCAAACAGTGTTTCCAAAGCTTCTGTGTTGCCAGCATTTAACACAAGGTGAGCTGTGATCCAGCTGGGATGAGGGCACGAGCAATGGGGCCTCTCCAATGTCTTATAATATGCTGGAGTTCAGGGCAGAGCACATCCCTCTACTCCACACAACTGGTTTTTTTTGTCCAGATGCTGAACAGAACTTTAAGCATGGCTGAACTGGAGAAAAAAAAAAAAAAAAAACACAACACAACAGTTT